TGAATCCCCAGTTGCAACAACCTGCTCACTTCCTGTCCCCCGCCCAAGCCGCTCACCTCGCTCTTCCTGGCCAAATTAATACGAATCCCACCGCCTCTCCCGCCACTCTTTCCAACCATCCTACCCCCTCCATGCAAAATCTCGCACTCCAAAACTCGATGGGAGGTCCCACCAGTGTCGGAATGGCTCATCAAGCCTCTCATCAGGGTACCAATCCGAGCAATGCCGGTACGCCCGCTGGTGGGAGTGCGACTGCGAGTCCCAATGTTACGGGAAAGAGGAGGCGACCTAGTGGTGCGCAGGGCAAGGGTGAGATGGGAGAAGAGGTGACGGAGATCAACGGCGTTGGTGGAAGTGGAGGGCAACTAGGCGCGAAAGTGAAAGCCAGTCCGAACGTCAGAGGCAAACGGCAGAAGAATGGATGACGCAGAGAGAGAGAGACTGGGGCAGACCGATGGGGACAAGGCAGGATACGGGTACTAGGGGAGGCTTATCTTCACGATTCAGCGACGGCGTTTATGAGAGGTGGCGGAGAGGGAGTCATGCCTTGCTTCTGGGTTGGCTTAACGGAGTAATGGGGTTATGACAGGAGCGAGGTATCTTTTTCGGGTGGACAGGGCGAGATCGTCTAACAGCTAGTAGCAGCGCCTGGATATAGATATGCTACCGCGAGAATCCTCATTGGATATCTTCGCCTTGACTCTGTATCTATACGCAACAACAATGGACTAAAGGTTCAATATGCAATCACTTCTTGGATGAAATCTCTATATGGGTGTGGGTTATGTACGAGGAAAGGCTCCGAAGTGGTGTGATAGCTACACCAGAGAAGCCATATTTTCCCAGCCAAATTCCTATAAGCAGGAAGAGTTCTATCTGATGGCCCGGCTCGCAGACATGGCGTTTCTTCAACATGAAAAGCCTCGCGCAACGGTAACCACGCCCCCGTTGCCACGGTTCAGCAGCGCCACGGATGACCCCGAAAAAGTTGGTCGCGCATCTTTTGAGAAGAGAGGCACATCGCAGTCATTGCCGTCTTGAGTCTCGATATGCCAGGGCCAAATCCAGTGAAAACGTAACCTCGAGCTTTCACGTCAATGAATAAATGTATGTAAACGTATGCTGCCGGGTGGTGTATCACGTTTCGTCATAGTCATCAAGCATTCATTGTTCACGCATGTTTCGAATTTCGTACGTGTCACGCATGTCGATATCACGCATCACGTCACGAGCCTGGAGGACCTTGAGCTTGGGGGTTTTGCTGGCCTTGATTCTGGGCTTGATAGCTAGAATACCACAGAGCGACATAGTTCTCATAGCCGCCATACGCTGCATAGGGATCCGCTCCTCCACCAGGGCCGCCGGCTTGTTGTTGCTGCTGGGGGCTCTGTTGGTTACCATACGGCTGCTGATACTGCTGCTGGGGTTGGGAGAAGTGTGGGTCGTTGTTGTATTGGTTTTGGTAATCTGGGGGTCGACCGCGGCCGCCATTCTTCTCTTGCTGTGGAAAAGAATCAGAGGAGTGACTGGGTTATAGAGAGGTAAGGAGGATGAGGAGGCTTACCACTGCGTGGACTTTCTCCATGATGGCGTTCTTCGCTCGCTCGATGGAGTCTCGCGAGCCCACGAGCCCGATCTCGCGTTCGAAGTCTTGTCCAGCGGCTGGGGAGACGTTAATCTTGCAGCCCGTCGTATTTTGCATGTCCTTGATCGTTTCGCCCCCTACAGAAAACGGTTAGCGGTCGCAGATGTCCTGTAAGGTATACGATACGCACCTTTGCCAATAATCATGCCAACCGCCTCCGATGGCACGGAGATTCTATCGTTGATCTTCTCGCCTTCTCCCCCACCAAATGCAGGTCCAGCTCGGTCACGAGGATCGCCACCTTTTGCAGCCAGACTCTTTGTATCACTCTCTACAATCTCCATTATGAGCTCCTTCGCCATAGCTGCTGCTTGTGGCGTACCAATGAGATTCACTGGGCGCAGACCGTTTACGCTCTTTTCCTCTCCCACGATATTGACATGGCATGTGCTTCGCTCTTGCAAATCGCGAATTGTCTCTCCTCCCCTTCCTATGATTAGGCCGACAGTGCGATTGGGTACCATGATCTGCGAGGTATCTTCTCCAGGCCGGAGAGCGGGCTGCTGCGCTCCTGCGACCTTTGGCATGCTTCCTCCCACGTTCATGTTGCGATCCGGGGGCGGAGGTGCTCTGCCACTTGCTGAAGGACCATTGCCATTTTCTTCAATGATGCGGAATATCTCGACCTTTGCATTTTCTCGCGCCGCACGGCTGCCAGTAATCTTACATTGGCGCATTGGCCCGCTTTCCTCGGGGCCAGTGATGAATTGTACTCTGGTCGAAGTATCTGCCTCCACACGTCTCAAGTTCTCTCCCTGACGGCCAATAATAAGACCGACTAGATTCGATTCTATAGGAATTGTCTCCACACCTTCATCACCTGCGCGGCCAGGTCCACCGAAGCCTCGTCCCGGGGGTGGACTAAATCGAGAGGCAGGAGTTGGGCCGCCGAAGCCCGGAGAAAATGATCTCTCACGTCCGTATTGCAGAGCTATCTGTCGTCGTGGTTCATCGCGACGCTCGTCACGGTACGGGTTATGGCCGTCCCGAAAGCCATCTCGTGGTATACGGCCTGGAGATCTTGAACGCGATCGCGAGGGTCTATAGTAGCGTCCGGCTAATCGAGGATCGTTGTCACGGTTTGGTGCTAGAAAAGACAAGCCTCTGTTAGCCTCCTGGGCACGCCATATCAAATCCATCTTGAAGAGAGGAGGAGATTGTAAACTCACTGTCACCACCGCGCAGACCAGTTTGGGAACCCCCTTTTTCTGCGGCGATACTACGCGCTCTGGTGACAGCATCTGCTAGGCTAACCGAGCCTGAATGGACAGGTTTGACATTGCTTATATCGATGCTGCCTGAATTGCTTGGTTTCGGAAGCGCATATGGGGTTGCTCCTGGTGGAGCGCCTGGTGGAGGACCTGCTTGAGGGTACGGCGGAGGGTAAGCTTGAGGAGGATGCTGTTGTGGAGGAGCTTGATGAAGCGGAGGATGCTGAGGCGGAGGTTGCGATTGGGTCGGAGTTCCTCCAGGGCGTTGTGCTGCTGTTATATTTGCTGTCAGACCTAAGGGGTAGTAGCATGTCAAAGCGCCCAGAAAGCTCACCTAAGGCCGCCAGGATTTGTGAGATATTTGGCGGTTCCGACATAGTTACGAGTGACTAGGACGCTGAAAGCTGTGAAGAGAGGAGAGTATCAAAACAGATCCGGTCACCTATGCAGATTGCAGGGCTTCATGCTGAAGAACTGAGTACTGGTGTGGGGCAAGATGAATGGAGTATGATGGAATGTAAAGGTAAAAATTACCAAACTTGCGTAGAGCTCAGAATATTCGTGTAAGTAAAAGTGATATGCCTCTAGAGAGTAGACCGAGAACCTGACGATTGGACGAAAACCAAAATCGCCGGCCGCAAACAAGTGCCAAGACGCGACGCGGGTATCGGAACGCGCCTGTCGCCGTTAGCGTCTGAGGAGTGATGCCCATCTTCAACAACACTGGAAGTTTTGATCATCTTTATCCTCCTTGCGCTCAAATGTTGTCCTTCAGTACATTTCTCATCAAGCAAAATTAAAATGACTCACGCAGTCGTTAACTTTGAACACTGCCACTCTTAAACTACGTATTTTCCATCCAATTCATCTCTCTTTATGCGTTCAATCAAAGCGACTGTCCGAATTGGCAAAGTCTACAACATATGATGGGATGTTTCAGGACGGTGACCACAGAATCTGCCCTGCTCCTAGCATCCCTGCCTACAATGCTCCACTTGAAGTTGGTTTTCCCGCAAAGATCACTAGCTAGCGAACGATAAGGTGCTGTTTTCCCGTATGTTCTACACGTTCCTGTCTCTCACTTGCAATCTTGACTCCTAAGTCATCATCCTGATATGTAAGAGCACAATCAACACCCACACCCTGAACAAAACCATCACTAGCAAACCTCTCATTCCTAATCCCTCTCAATCATTCCCTCGCGTCCTCCTCGCTCTTCCCCGTCTTCTCCACCCAAATCTTCACCAACACCGAATCCACTTCTTCCGCCATCCTTCCATTTCTACAAACATATATTCCCGCCCCTTTACTCCACAGCCCCCTGACACTCTCTCGCTCCTCCCACAGCAAGTGCTGCACATACTTGCAGCCCTCGCTCTCCTCCGGCGATCTAGTAGCTGCCCTTTTGACCTGCACCGCACGTTTCTCTTTCCATTCATTGAACTGGTCCAGGGAAAGAGCGTCTTTTTCCAAGTGGCGACAGCCGATGAATAACAGCGTTGGAGCAACGGTGCGGTCAGCGGAGATGTGTTCCACATACTGTTGAGCAAAGGCGCAGACGGGGGCGAGGCCAGTGCCTGCGCAGATCATGATGAGAGGGATTTTTCGACATCGATGGGTACGTGGAAGGCCTGATGACTTGGGCGCACGGTAACGTAGAACTTGGCGACTGGAGATAGTTCAGAAAGGTATGTTGATGCGGTGCCGAGGTATCGGTGTGAAAGGTTGGAGAGTGAAGGTGAGGTGAGAACGCTGTATGTTAGGGCGCAGGTGTGAGGGGACTGCAGTGGCGATGAATAGATGCACTATTTGGTCGGAGGAAGTTAAGGTAAGTTGGGGACGGCAGATGGTGCTGCTGATGCTTAGCCAGCAGGTCGGAAATGCTGACCCTTTTGTTGCTAATTTCCTCGAGTGTGAGGAATAGAATAGTCCGCTGGGTGCTTTCGTCAGCGGTGCAAGTTGCCAGAATTGCAAGCTATTTCTGCGTAATGGGCTGGTTGAATTCAACGTACGATGAGAGCAGGTTAAAGACGTAAGGGCGCGACCTTGAGCTAGAGCGGCATGTTGACCTTCTCCTACTTCTAGGGTAGAGTCCCAAGCCAGACCAAAGCGCGCCATGATTGATTTGACGAGTATGCTTGGGTTCATTGGTTGTAGGTCATGCTGCTTGGTAGTTGCAATTCTAAATGCCGTTTCTGGGGTACCCCAGGTCCGGTGAGGGGCTTGGTGGATTTGAAAATGGCCTCGGAGACGTCTTGACGAAGGTCGCTGACTCGGTAACTGTCACGAAACTCGACATCCAGACCGTCGCTTTGCGCTGTTATGTCATTTTGGTGGTCGAATGCCATATCGATGCCGGGCCGCATGGAATCTTCTCGCCAGCGATCGAAGTCATCGAAGACGTGGTTACCTGCAACGTCTGATAAGCCTTTCTCGGCAATTCGAGTGGCGCCTTTGTGTAGACCAATCATGGTTTCCACACCCGAAGACCGCATACCTTACTCCTTCGAGCTCGTTTCCCTCAAGACTTCCTAACCATTCAACAAAATGGACTGCGTTGTCCGGTGGCGCTCTTTCGTAGCTCGGGGTTATGATGGCCTTTCGTGACCTTTCCGGTGGCTTCGTCAAGACAAATGACTTATGGAGCATAGGCGGTGCCGGCCGCAGTGCTTGCTAGACTTTGCGCCAGTGACTCACACGTTCCGGCATCCGAGCCGTACAATATCTGCAGTGGATTTTTCTCAGTCTCGGAATCCTAGCGAAGGTTTTCAGTACGGAAGTTCGTGAATATCGAGGCTTAAATGCCAGTTTTACTCCATTGACCTTCTTATCTTTCACATCATGCTTATGTGGCTCTTCATGACCCCAAAGACGTCCTGCCAGTTCAACCGGGTAAAGATGATCACGCAGAGTCGCGTGGAACGAGAAGCCAATCGGGTTGGTAGAAAGCGTCCGTCGATACTTCATGACATACGTAGGGCCAGAGGCCCGAAGGTCAAAGTTCTGCAGTATCATCGCAATAACAGTTTGACCTTCCTGCTAGGCAAAAGCCCTTCCGATGCAGGACACGCATACCATTGCCAAAGGGCCGAAATTGTTAGCAGAGCAAGTTGACTAGCAAAAGAACGTCTCATTGTTGGGGTAGCGAACCTTCCACGATCTCGGCGGCAGCTTCTGAAACGCCTCATCCAACATCTTCTCTGGCTTAACACTTTCCGCATCCACCCATAGACCCCTGGATCTCGATGATTCTTGACGAGATTGGTGTTCAAGGCGTCCCCCTTCCGAATCTTGTACCGATTTTGGCCAATATACATGGGAAAGTCCTCATGTTTGCTGCTCACTGGCTCGAGGCGGATTCCAGGGCTGTGGGCCAGAGCTGGAGCGTCTCTCGCATGCACGCGGCGATGTAAGGGAGCTTGTTCAGGTGATCTATGGTTATGGGACCGGTACCGATGACTTTGTCGACTTCGTTCTGAGCCGCTTTGAGGGCACGGGGCTTCTTCAGAAGCATGATAAACAGAAAGCTGAACATGCCGGAAGTTGTTTCATAGCCTGAGAAAATGTGAACACGTGGAAACAGAAGCCCCAAAAATGTCACATACCAGCAATGAGGAGGGTGATCGCATTCTGCACCATGCTCGATTTGACTCGGTGGGCAGCACTGGTGCCATGAGTAGGAGACTTGCTTAACAATGGCCTTTGGGTGGCTTCAATATGAATCCTTGTTTAATGGCTCGCTGCATTATAAACACGTTGGACTTGAGTAGTACGGGCGAGCTGGTAGAAACTTGGTACTTTACAATCGATGCAGGAGAGCACGAGGGGTAGCATGTGGGTGGGAACCCATTGAGGACGCACTTCATGCGATGTAGTGAGCTTACATCAGCCTTGAGTTGCATACCATAGACTTCACCTCAAACGGTAGCCGCCTAGCATTGGAGGACAATTGACCACTCAACAGAACAGAGCTTAAGGCTTATTGCATGCTACCTTCTACTGTAGTACCCTCCACCTTTGTCTTGCTTGCTGGATCCCTGACCCAAACAATTGATTTTATTTGGGATAATCTGGCCAACGTTCTGAGGTACCAGATGCTTGGCGCTGTACTGAGCTCGCATGACGCCTCTGTCTTTGATGAAACCCTGAAAGCACCCATGAGGACCAAGTCAAACGAATTTCTTAGCAAGCTTACCCATTACTGCGGACGGCTCTAGAATTCAGTGTACACCAATCTAGACATCGCCTCAACCATGGCCCTCGGAACTTGCTGAAAGCAAAGATGAGTGAGACTCAACGAGTGATTCAACTGTCTGAGAGAAGAGATATTGATTCAGAGAGCCGTGATAGTTCATGACATGGAAACCTTCTGGTATGTGATTGAGTGTCTTGCCGGGTCCCTGCAGCACCAGACAAACATCCTGGGAAATGGAAGCTTGTGGAATCTATGAGACTTCTACGCTATGATGTCAGCCAAAGTGACGGGCAGGTGTCAACCGGGAAATATAAACAGAAACCTGCGGGAGTAACGCACGTCTCCCAGTGACAACCCGGTTGTTGTGTCAACGCCATCACAGCTTTAATCTCATTACCATTACAGCCGACTCGCTCAGTCTATAAGCTTCTACAGATGAAAGATCTAGCGCGGAATGGGCAATGTAATGGACGCTGAGGAGGGCGCAGACAATCACAGGAGTAAGTTTCACTACCACTGACGTCTTTCGCAGTAAAACTTGCCTGCGTCTGACACAACAGTGTAATAGGACCAACAATACTTATTATCGCTGAGAACGAACAAAACAATGCCGGAGCTCGCCAGAGTCAAGGCGAAGGCAACCCGTTGTCTAGATTACCCGTATATTCTTTCCATGGAGACAAGGGTGTTATCCAACCACTCAACGCCCCAGCGCGCAACGTAATAGCGCACACGAGGCCAGCTCTGATAAAGCATGCTGTGGCCAGTGCTTTTCGACGCCAGGCGAACAAGAAGGGGCTTTACGCGGATACAGATTGTGTTGTACACTGGAAGCCAAGCGCGATCCCCTTCCACATTGAGTTTGAGATAAACGCGTCAAACAACACTTGTCAACACTTGGCATCTGTCAGGAATATCAAAGCTAAAGATCCAGTCAGTACGCGACCCTACGCTCTTTTGACTGATCTGACGGGAACAGGACCAGTACGCAAAGACCCTTGTTCCACTTGCAAAGATTTTCTTCAGCAAGCCACCTGTAAGTCTATGATGATGAAGCCTGATTGATCGCCAGCTTGGATGTCATCCTTACAACATGTTAGGGAAGCCACCTACCACACTTGCCCTTCACACGGCCCCAGATACAGAGCGACAACCGGTCAAATTGTACTGCCGAAGACAAGCGAACATCCGAAACCATACAGCATGCCTGTCTCATCAAAGACCAACATATCAGCCTGACTGAGATTGACATCAAGACTGCTGAAGCTACGGCTAAAATGGTCAACGCTGGCAAGATCGTTGCCGGCCTTCTTGTCTACTTGACGTCACGTAAGCCCCGCATTGAGGACGTTGTAATGTCAAAAGAGCCTCCGGTGACAGATAATAAGGCCTTTCAGCTCACAGAAAGACCCTTTCCAAATGCCCCGCAGCGGCCAAAGCCACTTGTATATGCAGATGAAATCCAAGGTCTTGGGTCAGTATTGAAGCACAAGCGGGTGGTATCCAACCCGGAGAATGGTATTGATGGGGTGACGTTCATCGAACATTCTACTCTTGGAGAGAACAGCGTACCGGAAGATACGTCGGCCCTGAAGAAAACCCTGCCCGCAGAGCCTGCTGCTGCGATAACGTCCTCGAAGGGAGGGAAAGCGTCCTCATCCAAGAACAATCAATGCGGGAAGCAAATTCGTAACAAGCGAACCAGGCATGAAGCCATTTCCAGTGTGAGCGCCTACCCAACGCAGCGACCTCCCCGCAAGAAATCCGCAAGGAAATCGATTACTACTGAAGATTCTTCAGAGGGGAGAAGGCCTGGTCGTGAAGAGTGTGACCTAAGCCAAGTGTCAGCGACTCGGTCGCTCAATCTAGATAACGGAGAAACCACACCAGAGCAAAATTTGATCGCCAAGGAATTGTCACAGAAGGCCCTTACCTCTCCAGTGTCCGCTTCGAAAGAACACAAGGAGCCCAGAGCTCATACAGCAAAGGAAGTCCTAAATCTAGAACAGATCGCATTAGACGTCATATTTTCCCCAGGCGACATTGTCTGTTGTGAGGATCTGATCACTACCGCAGACAAGCCGATACCCTTCTCTCTAACAACCAAATCGATAGACAACAATGGAAGCGGAGTCCAAGGCCTATTGTGGGCTTATGCCATTGATACAAAGGTTGACGAAACTTTGGAAGAAGCAGGAACATGGCTCTGGAGAAGGCCAAAGACATATATCTGTACTCAACCCTTGTTGCGAATGGAGAAGTTTGGTCATTCTATCCTAGCTTCAGTCGTCATCTCCCACGAGAGAACGGAGAATGATGAGCCAATAATCGAAAATGATGGAAGTGCTGTCCATATTGTGCCTCACGAGCAGTGTTGGGATGATGTCCGATCCCACAAGTCTCACCCCGATTTTCTTGTCCCGGAGAAATTGGTCGAATATCAGGCCAGCGAAGCAGCTGGCTACGACATCTGGCGCCATGACAGAGATCTCCTAGAATGCCGCAAGCCCGACTGCGATGCCATGATTTCGGATTACCACCATTCCGTTGTCGTCTGCCTGGGCTGTGGGCCCAAGAGCATTGTGCGCTATTGTTCCTTACAGCATCAATTGGAAGACATCGAAGGACATTGGGAGGAGTGTGGCACGTGGGAAGGACTCCTACAACGCGTGATTGACCATACTACCGCGCCGAGCAAATTCGCCCGAATGTATCCAGCAATCAAACAGAGGCATGGATCGAAAAATGCCGCTCTGCATCGTCAAATGCTCTATTGCGCGCTTACCTACGGTCATTATACGCTATTCGACTCGGCTTCGAATCGCTCTGAGACCTTGTGCTGGCCAAAGCAAGATCCAAAGTGGCCAGAGATGGACCGACGCGTTGAGCGCCTACTCAACGTCGCCTTTCTCGACAGCTGGAACCACTACGTCTTGGGCTATCTTTACCGCCTGTTGCGTGAACTTTTGCGATCTCGAGGCGAATGGTCCAAACGTACCGAGCGATCCCTGAAGTTACAATTCGAGGCAGAGTTCAGCGATTACAAAGTCAATACAAGATGGCACAACGGCGAGGCTCCTTGCCAGTGTGAATGGTCCGGCAAAATTCTCCCTCGATATGATCACTTGTCAACATGCGGGTATGCCCTAGTAGCGGACGATTATGGTCCAGTCCGGCGTCAGAAATGCATCGAAACAACGGTTGAAGACTATGAAGAGAGATTCTGGATATTGAGGGCATGGCGGCAGCAACATCCAACGCAGAACAATTGGCGCTTCAGGGCTGCTGGGCATGGCTTCAGAGCTATGGTACCTGATGAGGAATGTTATGACTTAGGTCCAGGTTGGACTGGGTGGGGAGGCGAAATGGACAATATCTGTGCGGATCAAGAGGATCACGGAGAGAAGCGCAGTATGCGGTCAGCTTGAAAGGGTTTATTCCTCTCTATTGGACATCATTGTACGTTGGGTGAGGTATAGCTTGGACAAGTCATCTTGAGAGGCAGATTCAATCGTAATACCATGGGCATGATCCTGCTCTGCAAATCCGTGTCTTTTTACTTAGTTTCATGAGGAAACGCACAATACTAGGAAATGCGGAATTTTTAAATCCGATAAATCCGACATAGCTGGCTACCACTATCATAGCTACCACTACCACTTATTCAAATGGCTACTGCACCTCCTACGTCCGGCCCACTAAGATCACTATCGTCCGCTTCACTGGGGGCTTCGTCGTAGTCTTTACTGTAATTTCTTCGCAGTAATATACCTAGTAAGGTGGAAGAGGTACGATTTTTACGCTTTGATAGACCGATAAGGCCTAAAAAATAATGATTTGGATTCCTCGATATAGAAGCCTTGATAGCAAAAAAGAACCAGAGTTATTGATCCCTATTATGCGGAGTTGCTATAGAATTTTGGTGAGAAGTAGGCATTTGAGTGTTGGATCGGACTTATCGGATTTAAGATTCCGCATTTCCTAGTATTGTGCGTTTCCTCATGAAACTAAGAGTATCTCCTATCTCCGGCCTCTGCCCAAAAGCCCCGCTTCAACATCCCTCCGCCCCCATTATTGATCAAGACAGGCCTCGCCATCGCGACTGACAGCCAACATGATGGCTACAGCAGAAGAGACCCATAGCCATGATGGCCTACCTCCCCATCCCCACTCTCACTCCCACGAATTCAACGCCGCCGAACACGGCCACTCACACGAGATACTCGACGGCCCCGGCTCCTACACACAGCGAGCGATGCCGATAATATCCGGGCGAGATTGGAGCGAGCGAGCCTTCACGGTGGGAATCGGTGGGTAAGCTCTCACGCCACGCCTTCACCCACACACAGACATCCTCCCCTGCAGCCACCATCGCACGGAGCACGAGTGGGAGAGAGAGAAAATCCACGCCTGCTGACATGGACGCCCTCCTGCGCAAAAGCCCCGTCGGCTCCGGCAAAACCGCCCTGATGCTCGCCCTCTGCCTCGCCCTGCGCGACCCCTACAGCATCGCCGCCGTCACCAACGACATCTTCACGCGCGAGGACGCCGAGTTCCTCACCCGGCACGCCGCCCTCCCGGCCGCGCGCATCCAGGCCATCGAGACCGGCGGCTGCCCCCACGCCGCCGTGCGCGAAGACATCAGCGCGAACCTGCACGCGCTGCAGTCCCTGCACGGCCGGTTCGCCACGGATCTGCTGCTGATTGAGAGCGGGGGCGACAATCTGGCGGCGAATTACAGCCGGGAGTTGGCGGATTTCATCATCTATGTCATTGACGTGGCGGGGGGGGATAAGGTGCCGAGGAAGGGGGGGCCGGGGATCACGGGGAGTGACTTGTTGGTTGTGAACAAGGTTGATTTGGCGGAGGCGGTGGGGGCGGATATGAAGGTTATGGAGAGGGATGCTGGGAGGATGAGGGATGGGGGCCCGACGATTTTTGCGGTTGTGAAACATGGGAAGGGAGTGAAGGATATCGTGGGGTTGGTTTTGAGTGCGTGGAAAGGGAGCGGGGCGTATGAGGTCAGCATGGAGCGGTGGAAGAGGGAGGGGAAGAAAGGAAGTGGGGATGTCTGAAGACGCCGGGATGGCAGGGTTAGCTAGAGAGATGCAAAAAGATTCCACTTTTGTGAGAGCAATTCTTTGATCAAATCAAGGGCTACGAGTTCAATCTAGTTAGGAGCTATTCGAGGCATCATATCCAGGAAAGAGTACCATCTGGATCAAACCAGGGCTCCGAGATCATTGTTGGGAGTAAAACCATAGCTCATATCCAGGAAAGAGTAGCTTTCAGGTCAATCCTACCTTTCGAAAGAGATCAGTCGGGAATACTTGGAGTGATTGCAACTGGAAGAGAGTAGTTATTTCATTACACTAAGACTCTGATCCTTGTCCATTGGGTGTGATTTCAAAGACTACTTACTTATAGCGTGAGTATTTGCTGTCCGAAGCAACAAGGAAAATCTCGTCTCGCCTCTCAATTATATGGATATGTGGTGCCAAATAAGAACAGGACATGACCGCAACGAGAAGGAAAAACCGACCCCATCTGCTGAAGAGAATCAGCGACTGAAGGAGGTAAATGCTTTTCTCGAAGCGAGAAGGAGAGCATAAGCCAGGCTCTGCACTATTTTCGAGAAGACCGAAGCCTTCGATATGAGCAGTATCCTGCAAATCGATATGAGTGGACTCATCTCTGTGCTCAATGTTCATGCTAAGTCACAGGTATGAGAGAGGAGCAGAAACTCTCACCATGGCTAGAGGCATGCTGCTAGGTTTTGGAAGTCTACCACATCAGGAGATCTGCTCTATATCACCGCCGCTACTCTCTACATCAGTCTGCACGAACGGGCAGGTCTCCTTCGTCGGCTGCTCCAACTTCAGTTCTCCTTCAACAACACTGGGCTGTCTTGGTGTATCTTCCCCTGAGTCTCTTTCCACGACACGGGGTTGCCTTGGTGTGTCTTCCCCTGAGTCTCCAGAGCGCGGGTCGGTGTTGCTGGGTCCAGCTGTTGGCTCGCCTTCATGAATCGGAGCTGTCTTTGGGCCCAGACATTTGACGTCGACCTGCAACAACTCGATTGCGCACCCGGCCGGCACCAGCGCTGCGTAAATATCTTTAGCAGGGACAGGCTTAGTGTCGTGCAGGTCCCAGAGCACGACGTTACATTCGTCTCTTGCCCGGACGCTGGAGAAGGTGCTTTTCCAAGTGGGCGGCTTGAACGATACCACTTGGGGGTAGCCCTCGGCTTTCAGATTGGTGAGTTTATGTTACTCCCATTCTTTGTCTAGAACTAAAAATGAAATGTACTCTGATGTCAACTTCCATGCGCCGGGGATGCCATACCCATGCCGAATCGACGCGTTGAGCCAGTTGCCATTTACAGCGCAAGAATCACTGACCTTCGCCTGAACGAATTCCTTCAATTGAGTCTCGTTGTTGGCTAAACAATTTGTAATCTTTTCATAGTATGTTGTGGCCATGTTCAATCCGCCTTGGTTTCAAACTGCTAGTTTGGAGGTAAAGAAGTCCCTTTACCTGGTCGTGCTTTTGAAACTCCACCATAAGATAGTGAATGTGAGCATTGTCGTAGAGATAAAGACCTGTTCCGAGGTTTTCGTGGGCGGGTGTTTGAGGTTGTTTAATTGGTTGCTCCTATTAGGAATTCACGATGGAGGGTCGCTGGGTCGCTGGGGAGTTCGCCCGAGGGGTTTCTCAGGCATCAAGACAAGATTCTTCCACTGTGTAAGTACTTGACCTAAATATTGCCATCAAGCTCTGGATCTTGCATCAAGAGCTAGCATAGTACGTCCACACACTTCCAAGTCCGAATAAAAAGTATTTGTCGCTGACCCCAGCTGCTTTCAAGGCGTCGTAGATGTGCTTGTTTTTCTGTTTTGCTGCAACGATAATCGCGGTGTCCGAGTTGTCATCGGTGGCGCCGAGATCAGCCCCATTTTTGATCAGTCGTTGTAGAAAGTCAATGTCGCCATAGCTAGCGGCGCAGACGACGAGTGGAGGATGCGGAAATGCAGGACGACGAATGTTGGGATCTAAGCCAAAATCTAATAGTAAGTTGAGGACTTCGCCATCACGCTTAGTCCACTGCTGAGGGTACGCATGTAAACTTGCTATCCATGCGATGATCGGCTGCTGGCTTGTTTCTCTCAAAGAGCCAACATTCTGCAGAATGAGTTCGAGCATCTTCGGAGTGCTAACATGCAAGGCTGCCTCTATATTTGGCTTCGCGCCAGCTTTCAAGAGTTGAGCCGCTAGGCGTTCGCTGCCAGCTGCCTGTCGTTGAACAGCAACGTCGAGCATAGTAGATGTCTTGTTTGGTCCAAGACGCAAGTTGGGATCGAGGCCATGGCCTAACAAAAAGCGCAACACTGAGCAGTCGCGGGTACTCCATTTATCGCCATGGACTGGAAGACTCGCAGCCCAATTTCGCATGATTTGTCTATGCTCCTCAGTGACGGGATTCAGCGCGCTCATAATTTGCGCTACGTTCTCAAGCTGGCCATGAGCAACAGTCACCTTAAAGAGAGGTTGGCCTTTGCCGTCGATGGCATTGACATCGGCACCGGCTGCTAAAAGGGCTGCAACAACCAAGCTGGCCTGAGAATGCTGACATCGCAGAGCTAACGCCAGTGGAGTATCGCCGTTGTCATCCATACAGTGGACACTTGCCCCCCGTTCAAGAGCTAAGTTGACACCGTTGAGGTTTCCTTTGGCAGCTTCCTGTAGCATAAATGTCTGTCCAAATGATCCGATGCGTTGCTCGATGCTTGCACCAGCATCTAAGATTTGGCGAACCTGATCGAGACTTCCCGACGTACCCAACTCTGCGAGGGCAGTACTGGGGCCTCCAAGCAGGCAGATGGCAGACGGCATGTCCCCTACATGCAGGGACCACTCCAAGGGAGTCCGGCTGTTCAAGGGTGGAGGCTTTTTGTTTGTCCCAGTAAAGAGACGTTTGCGATTGAGCCCATGGGATTTGACTTTTTCCATAGCAGCTTCATAGAGTTGGAGCGCTGAATCTAAATCTCGCCTTTGCTGCATGTCTGCGGCTGAAGCCAAAAGCTGGAGTATGCCATCTTCAAGATGTTCCTTTTTGACTGGTATAATACGTGATGGACCATCGGGTTGCTTTTCATCGCCTAAGTGGATCTGACCCTTCTGCCTCGAGGACCAGCTTGTCCTGTTCATGTTGTTTTTGGCTTGTGGCAGACCAAACTGACAGAAGAAATTTGTTACTGATGACGAACTAACTGTCTAGCGGCGACTAGGAACCATGTGGTACTGTTCGCTCATCTCAAGATATCTATACTGGTACAGAAGCTCGGTGAGTATCAGAATTGCTCTGGTACGAGTAGCATAGCCCCACCTCAGCAAGTCAAGTCCAGGATCAGGATTTACTTTCTCTGTCACTCGCCAACTTTTTCGGCTTCGTGAGGCCAGACGTCTGACTTGACGAAGTCATACACTGCTTCATGAAGTAGTACCACTTTACCAGATCAGCGAGTAGGAGGAACGCCATCCATGATCTTCTACTAGCGTAGCGCCTAGCTCTATATAAGGTAAGCTCATAACCTTAAAAATACCCAATGAGAATGGGATCGCAACGTGGCGCCCCATAGGTAAGGAGAAGAAGCCTACCATCCTCCATCCTTTGGCGAGGCTGAGTATCACCGTTTCACTCAGACATGTTGTGTTGTCCTTTTGTGATCAGCCAGGCAGTTGCGTTTACCTACATGAATATGGAGACTGCTTCAAAAATGATAGGGTCCTGTACTCTAACCCCTTCAATAACGCCTGCAGCGGGATCCCGTCTTCCGTCAAGTTCGCAGCGGCCAAGGAGGAATCGCAGGGTCAAAGGCAGAGAGCTGGGCAGGGAGACTATGCGTCACTTGATGGACTTTGTCTATTGTCAAACATGTTTGCGCCAGCATTCTGAGTCTTTGACAGAAATACTTGGGCGACTGGAGACTATTGTTTGGGGTATTCGTTTCGGCGCTTACCACGAGTCGCTCTCAGCCAATACCATGGGGCAAGACGATAACATCAGAGAACAGATTCACAATGACTTCCTGAAACATTTGATTTGCGAGTTTCACATTCACTTGAATCTCTATGGCTTCCTGGTGGATCTTGGGCTCTTTACTTCACTGCGAGTGTTGCTATTATTGTCACTCATTGCGATTATCCACTCGAATCATTGTTCAAAACACTTCCTTTGTCCACCTTTTTTGTTCTTTTCACTATTCGACCTCGTCTATAGACCGCATGAATTGATCATTTCTTAATTGTTCTTTGCCTTTCTTTTCCATTCCACTCACAACTTCATCATACATTCGTTCCATAATACCAGCTGCGCTGTAGCCATACATATCTTAGACCTACACTAATTTCTTCCGCTGGACGGACCCCAGAAAATCTATCCGACATCATCACCAGCATGTCTTTCACAGGGAATCAGCACCCTTCCGATTTTCCCGCTGTGCCTCCATCTCTTTCCGCTGGCGATCATGGCATGCAAGATCATTACGCCGCTCAAGATACACAACGAAGTACACCACACACAGTATCCAACATCACCCCCTACCTCGGACTCCGTGCTCGATTATCCCAAGTATGGATCAACAGATGGACCATTCTTTTACTTCTCGTACTCGTTAGGCTGCTCATCGCCATCGCAGGTCTGCACAACGATCTCGGGTCGGCCAAGACTGAAGCAATGTCGGCATGCACTGGAGTCGAATCTATAGGCAGTGCCATGGCCTCCATGCCTCACTACCTAGCCGCGGGTGTTAATGATTTGGCTGGTACTGGCATCGAGAAGGCCGTTGACGGCCTGATGTCCATGCTCCTCCTTACTGTCACCGGCATTGAAGAAATAGTTGTATTTGTCATCAACATGATGACTTCGACCTATATGTGTCTAATCACTCTTGTCGTCGCTGGAAGTCTGCACGTGGCGTTGCAAGTTGCCGAAGATGTTAGCAACTTTCTCAACTCAACCCTCAAGGACATTGGAAATGATTTATCGTCAGACATTGGCAGCTTCCAAAATGACCTGAATAAGTTTACACATGGGGTCAGCGGCAGTCTTGCAAAGCTCGGTATCTCTACACCGCCGACACTCAACGTTACCGGGTCCTTGGACAAGCTCAACAACCTTCAACTTCCTGCCACCCTGGATGAGGGCTTGACCAAGCTGAACAATTCCATACCCACTTTCCAGGATGTGCAGAATTTCACTGACAACCTCATTCGCTTACCGTTCGATGATCTCAAGACCGTTCTTAATGGAAGTCTGCATTTCACTTTCGATCGTTCCCTACTTCCAGTGCCGCAGAAAGAACAGCTGACGTTCTGTTCTGGCAACAATGGCATTTCCGATTTCTTTGGCGACTTGGTGGATATTGTGAATCTTGTTCGCCGGATCTTCATTGCGGTCTTGATAATTCTTGCCATTCTGGTCTGCGTTCCCATGGCTTACCAGGAAATTCGAAGATGGAACACCATGAAGAAGCGATCCGAGCTTGTAGCTGACAAGTCTATCGACCCCCTGGATGTGATGTACATTGCGTCTCGACCGTACACGGCCTCTGCTGGTATCAAAGCCGCGACGCCCTTCGGGTCCACAAAGAAACAGATTCTCACTCGCTGGGTTATTGCCTATGCCACATCCCCTCCGGCACTCCTTGTGCTCGCGCTCGGTATCACCGGTCTCCTTTCCTGCCTTTGCCAATATGCTCTACTCAAAGCTGTGATGAGAGAAGTTCCTGCTCTCGCCAACGAAGTTGGTCAATTTGCTGGCTTGGTTGTTGACAAGCTCGAAAACGCCTCTGAAGCTTGGGCCAATGGCACCAACGATGCGATCATGGGCGTAAACAACGACATCAATCACAAGGTCTTTGGCTGGGTCAATGTCACCACTGGCGCCATCAATAACACTCTCAACATGTTCGTCAGCGATACCATTGGCGTTCTTAACAAAACCTTTGGTGGGACAGTACTCTATGGCCCGGTCACAGGCATTTTCGAGTGTCTGGTTGGTCTAAAAGTCGCCGGTGTCCAAAAAGGTCTCGACTGGGTTTCTGACAACGCAAATGTGAATTTCCCCACAATACCAAACAATACGTTCTCTCTTGGCGCCGCAGCCAGCACTGCTGACCCAAGCTCATCAAATGCGAGCGAGAGCTTCCTAGCGTCCCCTGGCAGCCAGACCACCAACGATATCGAAGGCGCTGTTCTGAAGGTGACGAATCATCTTGCCAACGGCATCAGGACCGAAGCACTCATTTCAACCTCGGTCCTGCTCATCTGGGTCATCAACCTGCTCCTCGGCATCGTGCGTGCTCTATACTTAGGGTTCAGACGCGAGAGGGGTCGCGCTGTTGGTGGACCGTCATACGCCGGTGATATACCCATGGAAGAGCAGCCTAGAGGCCGTGATTACAGCACTGCTGGGCCAACTGAGCCTGCACCTGCATACGAGCCTCCAAGTTCAAATACCGCTGGAAGAACGAGGCCTTTCCAGAGCTTCGGCGTTCCGATGGGACAGAGTGCGCCTACGAGTCGAGGGGAGGACCCTACGAACGAAGAACAGTGGCAAGACGAAAAGCTGGGCTTCGCAGGGCTAAGGGAGCCGGCAAGGGCATCGCTGTCGCCAGGGCATTTGAGTCAATATGGCAGGGTAGAAAAATCATGAGAGGATTGGCTACCTCTAATCGATACGTTCATGCATGTTTTACGAAATCTAAAAGTCCTCAAGGGAGCGGGTCATCCGAAATACTGTATCTGACGCTATGCATCATTCTGTGTATCTTTTCGAGCATAGACTGTCTTGAGGCTAGTACTCGACAGTCTTTTAGGTAATCTTCCCAACCTCTAGGTTCCATGGTGGAACTGATTGCAGGAGCTCCAACCCGCTCCATCTTGGTTTTAGGCTCGGCCTTATGTGTCGGAGACTGAGGTGTCAAAAAGGTTTCCTTCTTGGAGTTCGGGTGGAAAGGAAAGATGCTGGTACCCACCTGGCCCCTTTGAATGATCTTGGTCGAACGACATAAGCATGAGTGGCTCTACTTCGACAACACTGGAAGCAAGGCACCGGGATTGGACGCACGCTGTCTAGCTGCAGCCATCTATGTCGACATCAGCTTTCCCTGCAACACTGAAGCCATGCATGCACGAATGATCGAAATACTCACTACGGGCCTCACCGGACGCATACCTTCACTCAATTCACCATAATAGTCTTCTCCGCTGACCTACCGGAAGATTCGCTGCTGCTATCCATTTTACTCCCTACGTTCCTTGGATGGTCTTGTGGCGAGACGGAACGCGCGCGATGGAAGGTCAAGCATGCTGGAGCAAGAGGAATGGGGTTCATCATGGCTATCCGCGTGGACGTACGTAAATAGCTAGAAGAAAGCAGAATGGATCCTTGTACCGCACTTGATGTCTTCATCTTACGTGATCAAAATGATACTCCTAATTACAGGAAATGTCTGCTGTCCTTCTGGTGCTTCTGTCCACTTCGTTCTATCCCAGTTCAGGTCCTTAGCGGGTTCCTTTTAAACCTCAGCCAACGCTAGTGTACGATACCGGAGAGTCATTAGGCCGGTACTACCACATTCCCCTGATTAGTAAGAAATTCCCATAAAAAGTAGAAGGCGGATCCTACCTTCCTACTATATCCTCCCTATACCTCGCTATCGCCCTCCTATACCTCCTAGACTTCGCTTCATTAAATCTTCGCGTAACCTCCTCTTATATAATCTTAATATCGTTCTCTCTTCGTATTTATTAATCCTCTTAATATAAGAACTTCGAGGATACTTAGAAGGAGTTAGATTAGTACGATAATAATCCGAAGGGCATTAATCGAGACCGTAAGTTTTCAGATAACGATTTTCTACTTCTAATATAGAAAGAGGATAATAATAATAGCGACGGCGAATAAAGTAAGGCTACGTATTCTAACGCGTCTAGATTATCGTTATCGAAATTTATTATCTCTTTCTTCTCTTTCTTCTTAAAATATAAAATCGAGATCTTTTTAGACGCGTTAATAGATTAAAAAGATTCTCGTAAAGGGATTAAGCGAAGAAAGGCGCGTGCTAAAGTAGTCGTCTCTTATTTAAGATTAATAATTATAGTCTTACTATTAAATATTAAGATAATTCGTTAATAAGGAATTTAATTAGTTTTAAAGAATCTTATTAATATTAACTATAATGTGTCTAAATTGTAGATATCTATTACTCTATAAAGATTTTAATAGATAGCGAGAATAAAGGCTAGATAGCTAGCTAAATCTCTAATAAAATCTCTATAAAGCGACGGCGAGATAGATTTCGTTTTAAGACGCTAGAAATATTAGGATAATAGTAGCGATAATCTTCTTATTAGATTTCGTCTTAATAGCCTCGAGATACCGTAACGATGACGACGTCTTCCCACTCAAATTTCGCCTAGTCTTATTAAAAACGAGCCCTATAAGAGGCGATAGCGAGATCTCTCATTATAACGCAAACTTCGCTACACCTCCTATATAAATTTCGCTTTAATCGATAAAAATGCCAGCGGGTATAATTAAGAGGTCTTCGGCGATAGCGATAGCGATAGTAAGGTATCAGTATCGTCGCGCCTTATTTTGATGTGACTATTATATAAATCTGGCTCAGCCACCTTGTAAGTACGCTAATGGTATTTTTCTTAGTATTGATTGAGGTATAAAAGCTACCCCTTAGCGCCGAATCGGACTCAGCCCTATCGAAAGCGAAGACCGCGAGATGACGAATCCTCAATCCATCACGTCTATTGGCAGAATAATTCATTCGCTGGGGAGTGGGCGAGGCTGTCATTCCAATGTAACTCGGAAGACAATGGTGCCTCTGTATCCCCCAAAGAAGAGGCTTGCGCCCTCCAGATACCGTAAACCATCTTTATCCGCGGCATATCCCAGGCCGAAGCCTCCACCTCAGAGAACGCTGCTCTACACCATCATCGCTGCATCTGTCTTCGTAGCCATTCTCTTCTTCGCCTCGCCCGCCGTACCAGTGGTACAGGACCTTCGCCTCTTCCACCACACACCCATACACAAGCCTCCGGCGCAGAAGAACAGTACCAGTGGAGATGCAAAGTGGTACAGTGACTGGAAATGGCTTCACCCATTCTCATATTCGATTACACAGGACGAAGACAGGTCAGTGCTACCGCCATTGTTGACAAGACCGCCAATCTACACATTTTACGACGACCTAGCGGAGAAAGACGAGAAGATCAAGGCCGTGGAGAACAAGCTCCTTCTGCTATGGAGGAGAGCATGGTGGGCTCAGGGGCTCAGGCCGGTCATATTGGGCAGGTCAGAGGCGATGATGAACCCGCTGTATGAGGCAATTCAGATGCACAAGCTGCAGCCGCAAATGGAGGCTGAGATCGTGAGATGGTCGGCTTGGGGCCAGATGGGAACAGGCATACTTGCAAACTGGCTGGCTCTTCCTATGGGTCCTCACGATGACCATCTGCTGTCACATTTCAGACGAGGCCAATACTCAAAGCTGACGCGGTACGAAGGCCTAGGGGCTGGTCTTTACTCCGGAGAGAAGAATGCCATCAACGCTGCTATCTCAGAGACGCTGAAATCTCCTGAGCTGGAAAAGTCGACATCAATCTTCGACGTTGTGAAGCACGAGACCATACATGTTGATCCCAAGCCAGATGCTATCGCCTTCTACTCTGCCAACACGAATGCCGAACATTACAAATCCATCACAACCACACTCGCCGAGAACAAGGCCGACGGCCTGCGCGATCTTGCACAGCTAATCACCTCGCATCTTCACCTCACCTTTCTCAATACCTTTACCGACGGTTTCGTGGTCTTGACACCACATTCAGAAAACACCCATCTACTCACCGAGTACGCCCTCGCCCTTGCGGACGCTCTAAGATCTTGTCCGGCCTCCCCTGTACCATCATCCTGCCCTCCGAATAATCTAAGCTGCACGCCATGCTCCTCAATATCTCCACCTCCAGTCAAGAAACCGGAGTGTTATACCAACAGCTCAACTATCTACACCATCGGTACCATCCCCCACCCTCTCACTCTTGCCTCTCTCCTCTCCGGCAAAAAAGATATCACGACGCGACACATTCGGCGCGAAACAGAGCGCGATCGCTGGCTCGGCGCTGTTACGGAGGAAACACTTGGAAGAAACATTGGGGGTCCATCACGTATCGTCAACTTCAAAGAGATTGTGGCGAGTGACTGGGGTGTCGCGCGCGGCTTATGGATGACGGAAGATCCGTCACCCGAGCACAAAGACTTGGAGTATCATTTTGGCTTCGAACTCGCGAAATTCAATGTGACTGGTCCGGAAACCGAGACTCTACCATTATCCAAAAAGGAAAAGAAACAAGTGGATAGAGCTTATGCCATGCAAAAGATGTTGCTTGCGAACTCGAAAGACTTGATAAAGCAGAAGAAGGCAAAGGACGAGAAGCCGGGAGTGAAAGAGATGGTGGAGGCGTGGAATATGGCGGATACGGAGGCGTGGAGGTTTGTGAGGGCGTTTGGGGCGAGGGAGAAAGTGGAGAGGACACAGTGGGAGGAGGAAGAGAGGGCGTTTGCTGGTGGAGAGGAAGGGAGGCCTGAGGGTTGGGGAAGGTGGTTTGATCGGAGGTAGTCCGCCTGTAAGTCTGCGAATCCTGGCATCGCTCATGTCCCCCAATAATTAATCGTCTATCCCACTTAGCGGCCAAGGTGACACAACCCATTTCATTTTCTTGTACATACTTGTTCGCTGTTCAATAATTTTTATTTTGACACCGATTTTTATCTATATTTCCCACAGTTGCGTTCGCAAAATATACTCCGTCAGGTTGACTGTCGAGCACTTTTTTATTTGGATTGACCATGCATTGCCGGCTTTTGCCTTCCTTGTATATCGCACACGGGTGATAGGCGGTCATGATTAGTGTGGCTTGGAATTTTGGGATGCTGCGTGCCGCACGGCAGCGCGCCTTAAATCAAGCCAATCGATACCCAGCATCCACCATTCTCTTCTATTCATTTTTTTCCAAGTCTCAGCCCCCAACGACATGAAATCTCACGTTGGGCGGACGTTTGTTTCTGAAACAGTCCCTACCCATGTCACTAGCGTCTGATCGGCGAATCCCAGCTGCTGTGCTCAGACCATGATCACCCCTCAGCTCTGTTGTTGGAGGTATCTAGTTCGTATTAGGTTCGATCCCTGTGTTGCGGTGCTTCTTATTTTCTGACAGCTCAGGTTTAAAGTTCTTAACCGGAAACAGCCGTTAGTTCGAATTCCGTGCGATGCATTGATTTGCAAAGCGAAATGTTCATTGGTTGGCTTACCGTCCCGGGGGGGACGCCTGTTGGTTGTGGTCGTGTTGTTGGACGTATTTAGTTCGTATTAGGTTGGATTCCTAATGGCGCTGGTACAATGGTGTTGCGGTGCTTCTTATTTTCTGGCAGAGCTCAGCATTCGCCGCAACACAACATAATCGCACATGCATGACTTCTCATACTCATTCCCTCTCCACATTTCTTTTTCATCTCATGCACGGATAGAGAACCTGACGCACCATGGCCGAACCGATTGGTCCAGAAGTCTACCTTGCCATCGCGACCTCTATGCAAAATGCAGTGAACAACTACAGAGACAAGAAACGCGTTGAGCAGAACAACAAGCTCGCTATCATCAGTGCTGATAGCTCAAAGGCGAGCCTTACCTTACCAGCGCATGAGTCGCTTTCGTGTTCGGGGTTGAAAGTCGGCAATGATGGCTATGTGCAATGGGCGATGGATAGTCCGGCGCATCCGAGGAATTGGTCGAGGGATAGGAAGGCTTATGACCTTGGCTTGATCTTGTTCTTGGAGTTCTCCATGAGCGCCGTTAGCGCCGGGGGGACTCCAGCGTCGTTTTACGGGTCGGGGGTTCTGGGCCATGGGAGGGAGGTGGGACTCGTTGGTTTCACGACAATGTATGTAGGATACGTTGGGAGGGCCATTGTTTCCAATGCACGTAACGCTGATATGAGTCCAGGTACCTGCTCGGTCAGGCACTGGGTGCTTTGCTAATATCCCCATACGCCGATAAATTCGGACGCAGGACGCTGTATATCGCTTCAGCGTTCCTCTACAGCGTCTTCTGCCTCCCAGTGGCCGCAACTTCAAATATCGCAGGCGTCTTCGTCGGCCGTTTCATCACTGGTGTCATCTCCGCTATCCCAGCCATCACTACTCGTCGTAGCATTGAAGACCTCTTCGGCACTGAAGGGCGCATGTGGGCCTTCTTTTCCTGGGCATTGGCGACGAATCTGGGTCTCGTTCTTGGGCCCATTTATACGAGCTATGTTGCTGTCTCGCTCAACTGGTACACTCTTCCTTCCCATATCACACAGGGTGAACGTGCCTAACATGCAGCGCAGGCGCTGGCCTTTCTACCTCGCAACCATCATCGTGGCCGTTACGGGCATGCTGATGTACTTCATCCGCGAGTCGCACACCTCCCGGCTCCTCGAGCGCAAAGTCGCCGCTATCCAGTCTCACCGTGCAGACTTGATCCTCCGGACTGCCCCGGTGACCCCCCAACCCTCGATCTTCCAGCCAGTGATCTTTTTCTTCACCAAACCGATCATCTTCCTCTCATCAGTAGCCAACGCCTTCAGCACCGCTCTCCTTTACCTCTTCGCCGTCGCCTTCCCACTCATCTACGCACACTACGCGTGGAACAGACAGAAGACCACGCTGATCTTCCTGTTCATTGCTCTCGGTCTCTTCTTCAGCACGCTCACTCGCTTCCACGACCGCCACGCCTCGCGTCAGCACCGTCTTACCAACCGCCGCCTCGCCCCAGAGAAAGGTCTCCTCGGCCTCGCTATCGGGGCACCAGTGCTGGCGGTGGCACTGTGGTGGTTCGCATGGACCATCCCCGGCGTGCACGTGAAAGTCGTCGCATGGCCCGCTTCCGCGATATCTCTAATCCTCCTCGGATACGGTGTAAACGAACACTCCACCGTGCTCCCCCGCTACATCCTCGAATCCCACACCAAGAGCGAAAACGACGCCGCGAGCGCATTCGCCGCCCTGCTCGCCGCACGAGCGCTCCTCGGCGCGGTCTTCCCCCTCTTCACGCAGCACATGTTCGACACCCTCGGCGCCAACCCCGCCGCGAGCGTCCTCGCCGCCATCGCCACGGCATCCTGCCTCCTCCCTGTCGTCCTCGCCATGTTCGGCGCCAAGCTGAGAGGAAGTGGCACATCAAACGGTACGGACGATGATGATGGTCGGGACAGCGGCCGGGAGGTGCGGGTCGAGAAGGTGGCCGGGCCGAGAAAGACGGTCCGCTGGGGCGACGAGGCCGGTTCGGGCATCGACGACGGCGACGACGGTTCGGAGGCGAAGAGCGAGGATTCGACCGAGGGCGGGAGATCGGGAAGTTCCGAGATGGCGAGGACGGAGACGGGGGGCGGAGGAGACGGGGCAGACGTCTCGGAGATGTCGAGGGCGGTGACGGAGACGAAGGTTGCGAAAAGAGATTTGGCAAACCCTGATGTTTCAGAGGTGGAGACGAAGAATGAGAATAAGGACGGCGTCTCTCAGATATCGAGGGTGGAGACCCGGAAGAGCGAGAGCGAGACCCGGAAGAGCGGGGATTCTAAAAGCGCTCGGGTTGCCCGGGCGGAGACGAAGGGTTCGAGCGCTGGTGGTGGTGCGGACGGTGAGAAGAAGAAGAAGAAGGAGAAGGAGAAGAGGAGGAGGAAGGAGAAGACGAGGGTCGATGGCAGAGATGACGGCGCGGCCGGATTCTTGGGCATGGATCTGGAGAGGTTGGCTGTGTTTCCGTATTTCTAGGCGGATCGGTTGGGTGCGTCGGAGCTGTTCTTGGGAATGAATACAAGGGGGCGGGGGAGGGGCGGTCTTTGTTGCGGGTTCTCGGATTAGTGCGCTCTTTACGATACCTTGACAGCGAGCCTGTGCGTTTGGAGGCGTGAGATTGGTATTGGTGTTGGGATTGATGTTCAGTGCATGCTATCCAATTCTAAAAAGGCATAAAAAGTCCAAATCTCAGTCAGTTACGGAGAGAAACCATTACTCCATTTTCAACTCCTAGTCATGACCTTCCCGAACCGGACCACTCACGCCTTTCCATTCCACATTCCATCGTCGCAAACGTGCCCTTATATCCAACAATCCAACGACCTTGGACCCCCCATCTCCGAACCCTACATCGCTTCAATCTGCCCCACCCCGCCCTCTCGACCAATCGTACTTCTCCTCGATCCAGCTCCATAAAGCACCTCCAGCACCCTTCCCTTCTGGTTCTCCCTCACGCGCCTCAAATGCTCGTACGTCCCTTCCAAGCCCCGAACCTGCTCTTGAACACCAATCGTGCTGCTGTCGCCTCTCCTCACAAGCGGACTGACCAATTTCCTCCTCAAGGTCTCAAGATTGCCTTTCAGCGCCACGAGCTTCCCGTTATGCTCGACAAGTAGGGATTTATTCTGTGTGGTCTTCAGACGGACAGAGGCGAGGAGTTGTCTGTTCTTCTCGTACTTGCGTAGTAGCGTGTGATTGGGACCCACGATGCGAGTCCATAGGGAGCTAAGAAATTCGGTCTCGAGACGCTCTTGGGTGTCGCTTTCGCGGATGACGGTGCGCTGCAGGTTCAGGAATTGGCGGTCTATGTTCTCAAAGAGGGCGAACAGGGTGGTCGAGTATGTGAGTTCGGCATTGATGCTTTCTTCGAGCACGTTTAAGAACTCGTTGAAGGTGCGGTGCAGCGTTTGGGACGTACGTTGCTCATTCGTGGCGCCGAAGACGGTGGTGAATAGCTTGCCAAACGGGGTGGGAAGGCCAGTGGAGGGATTTTGTAAGACACCGATGTGGGAGAGGAGAGTGTGGATGTTTGTAAAAGCGGAGCTGAGGGAGCCAGATGGGGTGGAAGAGAGGGCTGATAGTTCGCGTTTGGCCCAGTCCATGACGATTAGTATGCCGTCGATGTCGCCGTCTACATTTGCGAAGAATTTGGTTAATTCGATGGCAAGGGTCTTAAGAGACTCGCTGAGGGAGTCGAGCTCGGAGACTATGAGGGGCGCGGATGTCATATTTGCGTAGCGGACCGATTCTCCCAGGTCCCAGACCGCGACGCCAGTCTCTTGCAAGTCGCCGATTTGGCGGACGCCATTTTCCGAGTAGAAGATAAGGGGTTCGAAAGAGCGGGCTAAACCAGCAACTTTGACAAGGTCGGGGACTGGGGGTTGCGTTGGCGTGTGGGTAACAAGGCGCAGCAAGCTGTAGCCAAGGGCTAGCATCAGGAGGGTGGATGAAAGCGAGGTCCATGATTTAGAGACGTGAGTAAGATATGTGCGTATCCATGATAGAGCAGCTTCAATTGGCTCTGTCCGCTGTTGTACTTCTGCGCGTAGAGCAAATCGGAAATCTCAGCATAGTCAGTATTATTCATAGCACCTTCAGGGGCAGAGCACACAATTATTTGTATTTTCCGGCGCAGCTACTGCCTCTTCCGTCTCTTCAAATTTCTGAGCAAATTCCTGCCCCTCTTCAGGATATGGAGAGGGGCTTGGCGACCGTTCCTTCACTGGGGACATTGAGCCTCGTGGCAGTGGTATGTTTGCAGGCACTGTAATATCTCCCTCCTCTTCCTGAGCACTCTCATACTGCGGGCTGGTACCTCTCGAGCGCGACGCACTCGCAGAGGCTTTCAAGAGGTTCTTGTCTTGTGGATAGGGTTGATGTCGATACCAGCCTCCAGCAGCATTCTGCTGTCTCCATGCGGGCGGTGACCATGGTTCCTCGGATACAGCTTCTTCTGACTCTGACTCTGACTCTTCAGATTTGAACCCTGAGTGTTGCGACGGTAGACCGAAGACCGGTGATCGATCGTTGTGTTCAAAGTCCTCTAGCGATGCTGATAGTGATGGGTGGTCGTCGTAGATCTCGTGTGGGGATGTCCCCATGCGGTTTGTTGCCATCATGTTTTTTTGTCTCCTCCAGGGAGAAGTGGTACATCAAGGTAGGTTCGTGAATCTCCTGTTGACGTCTAGCGCACTATTTCAACGTCAGCAGTTGTCTTGGTTCGGTCTCTTAACACAAGCACACAGCCTTCTGATAAAGATCTTGCGTTTCGCCGTTGTTTCTGAAATTCGAGTCAGGTTTTGGATGCAGCAGACATGTTTGCGACGAGGTTGCACATCGGAGGAGGGGCATTGTGAGGGTGGTCTTGGAAGCGGTCTCTGAAATGGCGAGGCTGGGAGCGAATCATTGCCTGTGCTGGAATCCATCCGACACTCACTGATGCAAGGGCTGCCGTAGCCAAGCACGCCAAGATTCTGGTCCTACACCAAATATTCTTACCGCGATGATGGCAATGCTTTCCTCATTGGCACGATTGGGGAGACTGAACAGCCGGAGCATACCTGATAGGAGTGCAAGCGAAATGGATCTGCCGCTGCAAGGCAATATAACCCTTCGGTGTCAATGTCAGGAGCATATGCGATTGATATATGAGCAAAGCACAGAAGACTGAATTATTGTATTTACAGCAGCCTTCGCACTACGCCCTGTCTGGAGTAAACATGCGGAATAGCAGCCCGACTTGTAAAGAAAAACCGAGGCAGTCAATGCCATGATGTTCTAAGCTCTTTTCCAAACACTCGCCCGCCCTTTCTAGTCAATCTAAGGCGTATAGTACACAGTTGAACGAGCATGCATCGAAGGAGTCACCATGAGAGTGGAGAGAGAGAGTCGGTGGTAGGTAGAGGAATATCTACTTGGTGGCGTTGCGAAGATGGCTGGCAGAAAGTCAGTACACCTACGTAAACGTCTGAATAGGTGTGCATACGTGATCAGGTCATTCCTGTCCTTGGCCTTCTTGAGACCACCGAAAGCCATCTTGGTACCTGGGATGTATTTCTTAGGGTTCTCTAGGTACTCGAACTGGAGACCGCTTGTTAGCGCCACATGTCGCTGTCATCTGGCCACTTTGTATCATACCAGAGTGTCTTCCTTCCACTCAATTGCCTTGTGCTTATTCGCATCCGTATACGAGAAGCCCTCCACCTGACCAGTCTTGCGTCCGAACAAGCCGTGGAGGTTGGGTCCGATTTTGTTGCCCTCCTCCTCCTTCAGGTTGTGACATTGGGCGCATCGTGTCTAGAGTCGGTCAGTGAACGTAGTTTTTAGAGTGCAGAGAAATCCAGTCCGTACCTTGAAGAGATTGGCGCCTTTCTTGTCGTCACCTATTGTAGATAACTTTAGTATTGTAATTGCGCCAGTTGCCACTAGCAAACTCCGAAGTAAATCGAAGTGCATCGACAATTCTGGGACTAAGCCTGAGACTCCAGAGCCATCATGGTTGCCTCCGACGCATTAAGAGGACGGCGCCAGACGGGATAAATGCGGTGAATGTGGCAAAAGCGGCATTCGACCTTGTCATCTTCTGAAATAGTTGTGCAGAGAGAGATCTTTGAGGGCAAAGGAAGCAATACGGAGCCATAAAAGCTTCCTTGCAGTGCTCTGTGCAGTCCTGAAAGACGGGGCGTCTCGAGGTGCGCGACAGCTTTGATGAAGCGGGAAGCAGGAGATGAAGACACGTACCGTCCGAGAAGCCTTGAGGGCCTTTTGCCATGTTGAATAGAGAAATGGGTCGTCTATCAAATATCTATAGGTATGTGGTCGTCGCGTGAGATGAAGTTGAAGTGCAAGTTGGCAGGGCGAAAAAGCATTGTAAATGACGAGACAAAAGAAAGCGGAAGGTTTATGCGGCTATCCAATCAAAAGAGTTCCAAATCAAGCCCGGTTCTTTCCCGACGACCGGTTTCCTGTACATTCCGGTGTTCCAAAAACAGCTCACCATTATTCAGTTGGATTACTTCATAATTCAATTGACTCAAAACCAGACATACTGCTTCGTCCTTTACAAGTGACGAGATTCCAACTCTTGCTACTTCGGTGATTTATGGCAGCGCGGACTCTGTGGCTTGAGCATCAGCCGCTGCAGCCCCGGAGGCATTTCCGTCGACTATACACCTGCAAGTACCTCAGGGTTTGATACCCGATGGCTGCACCAGCTATCTGGATTGTTGTCGGCGCAAGTAGAGGCATCGGACTCGAGTGGGTGCGCCAGCTTCTTGCTAGAGGTGACCACGTCCTGGCTACTGTACGGGATGTGGCAAAAGCTTCCCGGCTTTGGACACTCGCAGGCTCCGCAGCTATGGGCAGATGCCAGCTCTTTGAATGCGACGTAGCTTCGGAAGCCAGCATCAATGTATTCTTCAACCTAGTCTCATGATGTGATTGTAGAACCTGACAGAACCCTCAGAACTTTGCCCAAGAGGTAGCTGCACTGAGAAACATTGATAGGATTGATTATGTGATTCTCAATGCTGGAATCCTTCAATACCCCAATGTAAGACTCATTTCGCATCTCGGATGATTTCTCTCATGTGTTGATGATTTAGCGAGCTACTGAGCTGTAATATCTCCACCTCTGCCTCTAAGAACGAAGAATGCTTGCTGAGACCGATCAGCTCCTTCGATAACTTCTCGGACCATCTAAGAACGAATGCTGTTGGACCAATCATTACTGCTCAAAGACTTTTGCACACCGGTATCCCTATCGGAAGCATCGCTTTCATGTCTAGTGATTCCGGTTCAGCCACAGACTTTCGTGACTTCGAAGACGGGTACGCAACAGTTGTCACGCAAGACTACTAAGCTATGCTGAAGCATGCTTTTCTAGCTTTGCAGCTTACGCTGCGTCAAAAGCAGCATTGAATCAGATGCTCAGGGTAAACGTTTTGCTTCAGTTTCGTACTTGATGGTCTTCGTTGAACCGAGTTAGCATATGGCGTCGGAGCTGGCACGAAAGAGATACACTACGACTATTCTAGCTATGCATCCGGGCGAGGTTGCAACGTGAGAAGCCCCAACGCCATCTGAGTGAAGCTTTTGACTAACCATAAAAGAGATATGGCAAACGTATCTCTGGGATGGGAAGTCGAGGGTATCATTAATGCAGACGAGTCAGTGGCAGGCATGCTTCGGGTTGTCGAACAGAAGACCATCCTGGATACAGGGACATTCTGGACATGGGAAGGGAATGTAAGCTTCCGGTTCTCGTCTCCAAAAGATCATCCAACTGACAGTCGCCAGCGGCATCCATGGTGACATTTCGGATGGCAAGAACTCCTACGAACGATTGCGATTAGTACCTGCTCAAGGTCAAGCGATGTCATGCACTCTCATGAAGCTACTATTCTGGGGTTCTTTGGCTTTTGCGAGCAGATGGCTTCATGGGTAGTCCACGACTGGTGCTCAGCAAACGCTGACCACGTTGCGCTGAGTTCTTGCGTGAAGCACACTTCCTGGAAAGTTTGAGCATATGCGTGATTTGACTCGAAGGGTTGTGTGCTATAGATAACATTATCCCAGGCTTTCAACTACCCAAAAGCATGACTACATATTCATGTCTAGGCGAATAGCGGTCAGCGCGGCCAGAGGTGATGCAATTTCTCCGATCAGGCACCTATCGACCGTAGGCCTTTACTCTGCCTCTTCTTCTCCCGACCTGACATCGTTAGCATCAGAAACAGGCGTACGTTGCTTAAATTGATCATTCTCCTCCGGATAAATGTCAACGTCTGCCGTAATTCCGAAAAGGGTACAACATAGGTCAAAGAATTGTACTTCCGCCATGCAGACATGCTGAAACATTGTAATCCTAACGCTAGTGGTGTTAATAGATGTGCCCAACAGTGGAGACTACGCAGCGGACCGCAACGCTCAAGCCTAAGGTAAGAGCCAAACTAAGCCAGCTCTTCGACCTCAGCCTGGCCCATAACCCGGATCAGCGAGCGCTGGGTATGATAGAAATCATAAGCGCTTTGGAACCTCAATGGTAAAGGCGACTCTTCACAAGTAAAAGGCAAACTCAAGTTAGACAGCGCCCCAGCATTTCGAGATTCGAGCAGCTAGGAACGGTCCGCCTAGGTGACTATATCGTAACGCCGTCTATTGGAACGAGATTCGGGCTGGAGCGTGTATGGTGCCCTCTATTCAGAAGGAGAAAAATGGACACGCTTCCGATGGTGCCTTTCCTGGTCGACTCTACGATGGCGGATCGCAAACCCGATAAGAACCGAGGCTAGATTGCTTCGTCTTGTCTTGTCTGACCTACTCAGACAGATTATCGAGGTACAAACGACGTGAGCTCATGAGTAGACACTGAAAACAATGGAGAATCTAGCCTGGAGCTACGCAGCGCTGTCCCCTAGGCAAATCCTCTTCATGCTGAGATCGCGCGGACGCAGGAGAAGGTCTTTGAACCGGAGCATGAAGACTCTGTGCAAAGCGTACGGAACTCAGACTATATCACTGAGCCGTGTCGAATTTCTAAACCTGGCCAGAGCTTGTTCGATAAGTCTGTGGGTTTGTGGAAGGCTGGCTATTCCATACCCTGGTGACCCTCGTGTAACAAATCTTGGCGGAGCATCAAACGTCGCTCTTTTCAAAATACAATAATCTTTGAATAGTGGTCTTTAGGGTGAAAAGCGAACCTTAAGGTCTGCTTCGGAAGAACAATCGCGAGACTAGACATTCTTTGTTGTGGATATACTAGTTGAGTTGTGGTGGGTCGACTTCTTGATGTGCGGTGATCAGAGATCGGCAGCACAGTATCGAGATGAGTTGTAAGTAAGAAAGGTACGAGGATAAGGAAGTCGCGAAGCGGGACCTCCTAAGTGCTTTTATATTATTGCTCAATTTGAGGGAAAAAAAACAGCGATGATAATAGCTAATGAGATGTAAATGTCAATAAGTAGAAAATTTCCGATGTTCTAAGACAATCCTGCAGGAAACGAATCCGATCTGAGGGGAAGTACATGTATCGAAAAGGGGTGTACAGGTACGAGATCCCGTCATAAAACATATCCCTTCCTTCCCCCAACTCGAATACTGTCAATAAATCAAAGTCACTACTCCCAGTCACGTCTACATTCCCATGCTATTAGACCTGCTCAGCTCCATTATTTGTTAGAACGAGAACTCAACCTGCAACAGTCGGCCGATAGGCTCTTTGGTCCATCAGCTCATTACCTGATCATTGGCAATCCTCTGCCTCGGGGACATTTTTGCAGGGTACCTTTGAAAAGACGTGAGTTCATGGAGCAAAGGCGTGAGGCGTCTGCTGGCTGCATCGTCCCGGTGCGAGCTTCTCCTCGAGCGGGCAGCGCTGTGATGACTCGCGGGATAAAACGCCAAAAGTACTTACCCTAACATTTATAACGGACGCGAGGTGATTGGGCACCCCTGGATCCTAGACACTCTACATAGTCTCGGTCGTCTCATGTAGGAAAAGAACGTAAGTCGGAGTGGCGACCATGAAGAAAAGGCATCGGACGAAGGCAATCCCAACCGGAAAAGAATAAATTTGAGCCCCCGAACCGCCTCCGCAGCTATAGTGGTGTGGTGGGTGGGGGATCACTGCCACGCATGATCTCACCCTCACCGTAGGCTGAAGGCTTGTTGGGTGCTGCCCCCAGTAAGGGTAGTGGGGGACCGCCTCGGTGCTGGATAGCAGATAGTCTTCACAGATCCTGCGCTGGTTCGTAGCTGAGATCTTAGCTCACAACATCATCAAGCTTTGATTCGAAGTCGAGCTTCTATTCTTACACTATAGAAACGAATGATGAAAGTACCGAAGGAGCAGCCCGTTGTCTACCAGCTGAGTGCCACCTGGACCCAGATACTGTTTCCGCTGGCTGTCAGGATACTGACGATTGGTCTACTGGTCACGTTAGTCCTCAATCCTAGCCTTCGGGCGCGCTCATGGCTAATGATCCACACAGAGCCTTGGCATTTGGATCGAAAAGGCAGCTGTTTGACTTTGGCACAGCTTCCGTCTGGGGAAGGCCAGTCACGCCAGACACGCAGCTTGCCCTTCTCGGCGTCTTTGACAAATGTCTCGACTAGCTCGTCGACAACGCTTTGGAAAACATGACACTTCTGTCTCTCACCCTGCGGATGACTGAAAAGCCTACCCAAAAGCACCCACCAGGTGTGCTTCTGGTCGATTATGAGATGAAAGAAGAGCTGGTCAAACCTTGGAATGCTGGGTGGAATCACATCGAAAGATGGCGTGTATCTGGTTGGAAAGGCTAATCTACACAGTTTTGATCACAAAAGCGCTATTCATGATTTGCGCCTAGTCCGAAAAGGGATCTCATTCAGGAGATGATCATAATCAACTACTCTACCATTTTACTACTAAAACATTAAATGGTATGGGAAAGAGAGGTCGATAGGAAGTCAAAACTCAAGGTCCAGGCCTCTGAGCACAGAAAGCAGCCCTTTTAGTAATTAGATATCATGGCTCGGATTGCAAGAAGTTCTGAAGTTTCAGATACCGAATTATACGCTCCATCATTTGGGAATTTTGAGAAGTTTTTCATCGAATGAGGGTAAAAATCGATGTGCTACCGCAATTACCATCTATTGCTTGCCTCGTAGCTGTAAGAGCTGTCATTGTAGCCCCCCCATTCTTCTTTCATACTTGCAGCAGGTCGTAATGCTGTCCCTGGCCCCGGCTGCCTCGTGCCAGAGAATTCGCAGTCGCCATAGAAATTCAGCATACCGGTGATCCGACCATTTCCATGGAATGCAATGTCACCGTAGCAGTGGTCGCCAAAGCTCATCTCACCTTCGCCGTTCTCTCTACCACGCCACTTGACTGGCAGGGCTTCGTTGGAGGCGCTGTATGGTCTATTCTCGAGGAGGAGGACTCCGGAATATTGACCGAAGTCATAAGCCCCCCAGATTCTGGGCCCGTCAAGTGTCAGAATCAAGGAGAGACTGTCCGGATCGAAGTTGTCACTGAACTGTTCCCGCATGGTGGGGCATTCTATGTTATAAAGACCATTGATAAGACCCAAACTGCCGACGTTAGATGCCGAAGGGTAGCTGTGAAGATTCTCTGCCTTCACAGCCCGCTGTTTCTCAGTCGTTGTCTCCTTCTTCATCGCTGGTTTCTCTTTGACTGTCAGGGTCTTTTTCGCCATTGACTCTTTCTTCACCGTTGGTTCCTTTTTCGCCATTGACTCTTTCTTCACCGTTGGTTCCTTTTTCGCCATTGACTCTTTCTTCACCGTTGGTTCCTTCTTCGCCATCGACTCTTTTTGCACTGTTGGTTCCTTCTTCGTAGGTGGCTCCTTCTTTGCCGCTGGTTGTTTTTTTGCTGTTGGCTCTTTTTGAGCCCCAGTTTTTCCCTGCTTGGCGGTCACCGCTTCCGTCGTGGACGAAGGCTTTTTGGTGATCGGGTCTTTCGCTGCTAACGCTTTTTTGTTCGAGGCTGTTTGAGGGGCCTTTGTCTTGATTGTGGCTTCCCTGATCTTGCAGTCTTTCTTGGGAGTTGCTTTTGCTTTCTTGCTCGAAGAATGGAGCTGTTGCTCAGTGGGGTTTGGTGCATGAGTCACAGATGGAGAAGGCATTTCACCAAAATGCATTGTGTCCATGCCATTGAAGTTGACAGTAACGTTCACGTTGGGCGCAGAATCTGGCTGTTTTCGTTTCCTTGGATTTGCCGCATCCTTTCGTTCCCCTCCCGATTGTAATTTGTATTGGGCCTTAGCCTTCTTTTCCGCCGCATTAAACTCTTTCCGCAGAGACTCCTCAAGTCTGCTGATTCCAAGAGGTACCACCAGATTTGAGCTATTGACGGCTTCTAAGAGACGCATCTTAGCTCTGGCTTTGTCCTTCGAAGGTGGTAGCCCGTAATGCATCAATTGTGCCTCGTACCAGTGGCCCACAGGATCTTTGCTCGGCTGCACTGTCGCAGCTTTGGATATCTTTAAATCTGGTCGCAAGATGGCTGTGATCTCAGCAACTGGAGCACGCTTGTGTCGATTGAGGCCTCCAACTTCGACATAAAGATCTCCATTGTACCAGAAACCCTCCTTGGAGACAGGAGCTGCGAACGACATGGCTGCACGAGCCGATTGAATACGATACGTTGACAGGTTCTGGACACCAATCAGATGAGCAAGCTATGATGCACTCCCATAACAGCTCTCCCTTGGCTTTGAGTATTCCCCCGTTGGTTGGATGGAAGACGCTAGGCTAATATTAACTCCGGCCGTCTTGGCATCAACGCCAATCTCGAAACCAGAGAGAGTTCGGCCTCGTAGAAGTAAAGGAACTCGATCAAGCTTTCCATCCATTAGCAGCGAATATGAATCATACAGTCCCACGCTTCCTCCTCCCTCGAGGGTACATGCTCTCCTACCCTCTATTAGCCAGACCCTTCAAACCGCTGCAGGTAGGTCGTCATACCTTGCCTGTCTGTCGAAATGCGTCCGCAAGTACCTCGAAGCCGCGGATCCTTGAGAAGCCGACCAAGTTTAACCCTCCCTCCCATGGGAAACGACTGAAGCAACAGATTCCACGCCATTATGGGCCGCAACTCACAGGAGAGCAGAGAAACGAACAACAGACGAAGAAATACCCCAACATGATGCCTGCCCCAGGCACGTTCATGCATTGGTTCCTTACAAGTCGGGGCATCCACACATTTATCTCCCTGGTAAGAAGCTAGCTGACAATTATCTTAATTACCAAAGGCTCCAGTCTCGTTCTCAATACGCAATACTAAGACTACCTTGCCAGGGCATCCTCGTTCTCCTCGCCTCCATCACCGCCTTCGAAAACTGGCGCCTGGCTACCGCCTTCCGCGAACAGCTACCTACAGCTGGGGACTTCCTCTCTCAACCGCTAACCGCGTTCTGGCAAGCGGTCGAAGTATTCAAATTGGAGACTGCGAAAACGAGCGCCGAGACTGCCGAGAAAAGAAGGAGGAGTGTGGAGGACGTGCAGAAGAGGAATGCCTATCGCATAGCGCATGGCTTGCAGGATGAGAATAGCGAGGGGCTGGGTGGGTGGACGGCGAGGAGTGACGTGGAGACTCTAGGATCGGGGGCGAAAGCTGATGGTGCCGTTGGGAGACCGGTAGGCGTAGAGCCTGGGCAAGAGGTGGAGCCCGAGGGAGTCGGGAAGGGTGGTGATGGGAGAGAGGGCCCTGTTAATGATCGGGAGGGTAGGAAGAAGCACGTTAAGAAGTGGTTGGGGATTTGGTAAGAATCCGGCTATATGAGACTTCATCCTCGAGTCTTGCGTATCTGTGGATTCCCTAGTGGCTGCTTCTTGGTCTTGGACCGGACAGGACAGATCTGCCAGTGATGGCGTTTCATGTTCTGGTGTTCTACCCCACAACCAACTCTCAGTCCTATGGGATCAACTTCGAGCATCGGCTCAAGGCACCTTCGGGCTCAGCGCAGATTCGACCAAACTTGCTTATCATAGCGGCACAGGCTTGGTTATTGGACTTCCTATGCTTATTACCGCTGAACTTACCACGGCGAATACAAGTATTAAAAGAAACGCGGCTCCGAGTTAGGATTGCTACGAATTCTCGCGCGTCCAGATCCGAGAACACATCTTTGACTTACGACACGTGGGAAAGGTGGTTTACTTTCTTCGATCAAAAGATTGAATGGAGGCCCTTGGGATCTGGCCGTTTAAGAATTCCGGAGACAGCAAGCTTGCTCGTGGAAAGGATCGCATTCGTAGTTGGTAGGAATCCCAAAAGATTGTTGAGCATCCAGCAGAAAAGTGAAAACCAGTTCTCTGCTGCTGTTCCTTTACAAGAACAGAGAAAAGTCACCTTCAATAGGGCATCCTTAAATGAATCCGTATAGTACTCGAACGAGGCCAGCTGAGACTGCCTTTCTCCTCTACATCTTGCGGGATACAAACACTTCCTTTCCATTTGCAGTTAGCGGAACTTAAATTCTTCTCTTCCACACACCCCGCCCACCAACCCAACCTCCAACCATGGCACCTCCACCCACACCCCTCTCCCCCTCCGAGCTCTCCTACCTGCACACCTCCCTCTCCCTCCACCCGCCAATCCGCCCCGACGCCCGCTCCCCCACCTCTTTCCGCCCCCTGGTTGCCGAAACAGATCTCCTACCTGCGGCAAACGGGAGCGCGAGGCTATGTTTCGCAGACGGCACGGAGGCGATTGCCGGGGTGAAGGCTGAAGTAGAGAAAGTTCAAGGGCTGGGGAATGTCCGCTGGTATGACAATATGGATGCAGAGATGGGAGGGATAGAAGAGAGTGAGAGAGATGGAGAACAAGAGGGGGAAAGAGGAAAAGGCGTGGGAGAAGACAAGTGGATCGAGGTTACGGTGGATATGCCCGGCCAGCGCGACGACGACGCCATGGTAGTGTTCCTGGCGCAGATGATACATGAAGGGTTAGTCGCAGATGGAGGGCTGAAAAACAGACTGGTCATCAACGCACGGTGGCATTGGCGCCTTTATATCGACGTCCGTACTCCCTTGTGCCTTCCTCCTCTACAACCCCTCCAGCTCCAACCATCTTCCTCCAATACCGACAGTAGCTAACCTTTCTGCCCTATATTCAGATCCTCCTCCTCTCCCCACCCCACACCTACCCCCTCCCCCTCCTCTCCCTAACAACGCACCTCGCCCTCCTTTCCACCCGCTTACCAGCGCCTATATCCAACCACGACGAAGACCCGCTGTTCAACGACGATTGGGACGCCTCGTCACCACTCTACCCTTCCTCCGACACCTACCCCGACGCCAAAACCCCGCCACAGAGCTCCCCCGCACGCCCACCGATCACACTCCTCGTCATCTCCGTAGGCGACAACGTCTTCTTCGACGCCTCCCGCGAAGAACTAGCAGTCGCGGACGCCGTGCTCGCCGTCACCGTCGGCGCCCCTTCGTCCCCGTCCACGGGTCTCAACCTGTTAGCAGTGAGGACGATCGATCCGCCGTCACGGCTCTCCGCTTCGGCAGCGGAGGTCGGACGAGCGGGGGCGGAGATCGATGCAGAGGGGGGGAAAGAGGGTGTGTGGAAGGCTAGCAAAGGGGGAATGAAGAGGAGGGTGCTGGCGAGGATGGTGCAGATGTGCGTGGAGGGTGGAGGGGTGGGGGAGGAGGTTTTGGGCGGCTTGGGGGAATTCAGTTGAAAAGGGGGAACATGTGATGGGGATCGATATTTGATGTGAAATGATGGTCTGAAATCGGGACAGCAAAGAGAACGACCCGACCAAGCCATACCAGCTCGCCGCGGCCGAGAAAGGCATGTTCGCATGGAACTGGATCGCTTGCGGGAGCTGACAGCGTGGGGGTGGCTGTTGAGCCGGCTTCATCGGCCAAGATGATCAGGAGGGAGAGGACAGGACGCTTGGATCTGGCTGAAGGAGGACGATTCGGTCTACATGTGGCTCGGAGCAAGGGAGAGCACATTTCAATGGAACTCAGCAGCTGATTTTGATTATCTAGACTCGTAGAGTATGAACGATACCCTTGGAATCATCGATGCATGTATGGTGTGACTTTAGTGATTGGAAAGATGGCTTTTCTGATCGACTGTTCTATTCACAAGCTCGTAGGCTCGCTCAACAGCCACGTGTCTCCTTCCCAGCATCTACTTGCCTCTTCCTTTTCATTCCCACTTCTCTCCCTCCCTCCCTTCTGCTTATAATTAAGGAAAAACATGCATATGATACAGTCTCCTTCCACTTTTCCAGTCGATGGCTTAGGAAAGAGCAAAGATAATCTAGCTAGATGACAACGACCGACGTTATAAAGGAAACATCTGAGCAAAGAGCGACCTTAGATACACAGATAGTAGCACTAATATTATGTCGGTACGTTGTAAGCTGGCAAACAAAACTCGCGAAGCTGGCCTCATAGTCTATGGAGGCCGCTTTGGGGGTATGTGGCGAAGAAAGCAAGTAAGATTGATTGATTTGATTAGGTACCGTGGATGGTGGATGGGCCTGGTTGGCCAGCAACCAGTTTGATGCGGTGGCGGTCTATGAACAGAGATATGGCGTGAGCGATGGTGCAGGGGTGTACATCTCGCGTCGTAGTATTGTTGTTGTCGTACAATGGACAATTGATGTCTGTCGATAGAGTTAAGGACGGTGGTGGATTTATTGGTAGATAGACCCAGCAGCGAAGATACTAGCAGCCGCTGAGGCAGCCCACTCGTTTTCTTCGTATGGTGGTGTTGGCCATCTTGGAGTAGGATGGACGTCCTCCTTCGGCCGAGTTTTGATGATTGTGAGAGGTTCGACTGGTTCCGTCATGGCATTCGCATCGAAGAGAACGCCGTTCCTTTTAGCTGATGGCGAAGGAGTAGGGTATGGATTCAGAGACGCCATGTTGTTGGCCGTGTCCCGCAACGGCTGTCGAGGGGTGTCTACCTGTGTTAATTTCTTCAGATAGTCCCGTTCTTCAGCTTTGCTCCGACCATCTATTCGCTTGGCAGCGTTCTGAGCACTATTTAGAGCCTCGTGGAGCAGCTCGTCTTCCTCGTCGGGTGTGTCGTACATATGGCTTGGATGGGTCGAGCGGTGGAGAGCTCGTCGCGTTCGACTCGATATGGGCCCACCAGCACCTGTGAAGCTCGAAGAGTCCAAAGCTGGGGAGCTTACACTTTTTGACAGAGATGGGTGACGATTTATTGAATTCTCGGCGTTGGAGAGGCCGTGCTGCTGTTTGTGCGAAGATGGGACTTCGGGTGATGGCGAGAGCGGCTCGGCGAGTGGACGAGTTGATTGTAGAGCTTTGTCAACGTCGTTGAAGCTCTTCTCCAAGATCGTGTCCATGTTAGAATCAACGATCATGGAGTTTCGATTACTTTGCCAGGGACTACAGCCTGCATTGGCTTCAACGTCATCCATGCTTGAAGGCGCTGGCATTTGAGGCTTTCCCGATAACCTCCGTGCTCTTTTGCGCAGATGGGAGAAAAAGCCTTCCTTTTGCTCACTGTTAGGAGACATTGGTGGTGCCCTTTGCCCATTCAAGGCACGCTCAGCCTCTTGGCGATGAAGGTCAGCATAGTGATTTCCGTTTGACTGGATTGACAATTGACGGCCGATCTTTTTCGACGGTTTCGGATCAGAAGACGGGACCGTCCTGGTAGCATGGCCTGTGGGTTTATACACTGGATTATTGTGTGACTGCGCAGTCACAGTATCCGAGAAGGGAGATATAGGCCGAATGGATGGGAGGATCGGCATCGGCGCAGCATTCGAAGGATTCGTGCCGTTGGTCCAAGTGGCTCGCTTGTGGGCAAACGGACGGTATCTGATGGTCGATGTAGACTCTGCAGTTGGGGGAACATTGTCGGCTGTCTTGGCATGGTATATTGGCGACCTGTTGGGTGATGTTACTTGAGTCTGAGAAGAGGGCACCTGTATGGGCAAGGCCGGTGAATGATCACGAATGAGTGACTTTCTGAACCAGGAGGGCCTGGAAGATTGTGCGGCACCTTCGCCGGAATCCCTCTGAGACTTGCCGTCTATGCTTGAATGCTTCCTCCCGAGAAGACGGGAGCCCGAGGACTTTGGCCGCAGAGGATCAACCGCGTCATTGAAATACTCATGCTTCATAGCTTCCGCTGACGTAGGCCGGTTCTTGGGATCCCACATCAGGCACCAAGTAACAAAATTGCTCAAAGCAACTGGCCACTGTGGTGCCCTCAGGATTGTCTCCATAGAATGAGGAGCCATCTGCAAAAATCGTCAAGCTCTGCTATATGGGTATCCAGCCAAAAGTCATACCTTTGGGAAAGAGAAGCCTAGCTTCTGGGCCAGTCGAGTGCCATCTCTCCAGTCTCCACCGCCGACCTTCTTGCCTGACTTATCATACCAGTTGCCAGGCGAACCCATAATCTCGCATACCCTCCATACTTGATCAACTTCATTGCCACCAGGGAACAATGGCTTAAGGTTGGCAATCTCAACAGCCATAGCGCCAATGGCCCAGATGTCGACCGGTGCCGAATACTCACCAGCACGGAGGAGGACCTCGGGAGCGCGGTACCACCTTGTGGAGACATAAGTTGTGTAGGGGTGTTGTGAATGCGTTTCTCGAGCCAGGCCAAAGTCTGCTATCTTGATCGTGTACAAGGGTGGTGTACTTGGAGGCGTGACTATTGAAGAATATCTCCGGAAGGTAGTGTTGCTGTCTTGGGGTGACGATGTCGAAACAAGAATGTTCTCTGGTTTTATGTCGCGATGAAAGAAGTCATGATTATGAATATGGTCTAGACCGGACAAGATTTGGAAAAGAATGCTTTTAACGCTGCTGCTATCCAAGCATTTGTGCTCACGTGCTTTCATTAGTTGGTACAGGTTTCCATCCATGTGCTCCATGCAGATGTGTAGCTTCTTCGACATTGGATCTAAGAAGATTTCGAGAGCTGGGACGAGATGAATGTGGACGGGTAATGAGCGCAGGAAGATGACCTCTCGAAGTTCCAGACATGGGCCGAAAGAGTCGAAGGTCTTTTTCATCGTTTTAATTGCGACCTGTTGAATTGTGAGTCTTTGTGATCATCATGAAACAAGTGACGCTTACCATAGTGCCTCGTCGAGCGATATGAGCACCAGCCGTTCGGACGCGAGCCAAAGCGACACTGCCAAAGCTACCGTCGCCAATTTCTTTGAGAAGTTCAAAGTTGTCCTCTAGGCACATGGCTGATAGAGAACCGTTGGCCGCCAATCGAGGGTGTGAATCATGTGTGACTGCCATCGCAACAGCTCCGAAGGTGAATTGGAGATCAAGATGTCGGTCTTCGCTCGGATTCTTGCCTGGTCTTGAATTCTCCAGACAACCGCCAACTAAAAATTCTGGAGAAATCTGGTCTCAAAGCCCTTGACGCATCAAAAACCGATGGGTGTCCGAGGCAACTCCTTGCTTGCAATCGTATTCCCCGTGAACCCAGCCTCTTCTAAGAACAAAAAAGTAGACTGTCAACTTTTGCTTTATATAGACCGGGATCTGGGTGCTTGGTGTCGCATTGATGTCGATAGGCACGTGTGAAGGAACGTCGGTGGGTATTGATGCTGCGAGTCGAGACAATAGAAAAGCCGATTTTCCAATGGCAGCGCAACAATAGTCCGATACTTTCCACTCCCAATCAAGCTTGCCCAGCTTGAGCGACCATGAAAGCTTTTTATCGCGTCGTAGCTGGAGGTAGAGCTTTGACGAGAAGCTTGGAATTGAGGCACGTTGCTACTGATGACCTAAATCTTGAGGAATGTTGGCCAGCCCCCTGTGCCATCAATGACGTCCACGTTTTTCTGTGCCGTTGAAGCTCGTGTATTTTGACAGATAGGATCACGTAGGAACGAGTGAAGATAATGGGCTCGTAGTTAAATGATGCGCGGATTATGGGTGGTGGTGGTACTTTCTGTCAGCCGTGTCCGGTCAGCATGCATACGGAGCGGAATTCAAGCTTTAAGCTTTCAGCTTTCAGCAACGAGCAAAACTCACTGGAATTCTAAGGAATGGAAAATCGATGTAGCGGTGAGATGTAGAGAGGAGGAGGATGATGATGAGGAGGATGATGAGAAGTGTATAGGTGTTCGACAGGGTAAGGATCAGGGTGAGAGTGAGAGTGAGGGTGAAATTGGTAGTCTGGACTGTGGGAAGGGAGGTGTGCTAGGGCGTGATTGTGATGAAACCAACTGGCGTTCCCTAATTAGATTTGGTTTAACAGGTACTTTTGGGGGGCCCCGCGTAGGAAACGTGGTTGAGCATCACAGGCGAGGACTTGACCGATTTCACACTAAGGATAATCTACTCTCCTACTGAACTAGGGTACTACCCAAAGGGGTATGCCAGGATGAGGCTTGAAGTCATGATACGCAGACTCTGTGTCATGCGCTAAAGGACCTTACGCAGTAACACCGATCGATGGTCCCCAGGGAATTCACTAATTGATGACAATCAATCTCCCTTTCCCTTGAGTTACTTTTGGTCGGGCATAGAAGATCAAGGTACCGCACATTTAATGGAGCTCAGTCTCTCAGAGCAGAGCTCAAAATATGCGCCGGAGGTTATGCATGCGGCGTGGCGAGTAGCATGAAGACAAATCGAGTTCCTGCAGCATGATGCGCTCGCCTTTCCCACCTTTCCCACCTTTCCCACCCAGGATAAGGCAGCAAGCCTATCGCTCGAACGTTGATATCGCCCCAGCCACCTAATTGATGGGGGTAGAGCACGAGGGCTGTTCTCCTTTTCTTCTGACTGCCGGCCTAGGGTCGTGCCGGCATTTGCTCCTCCTGGACTTAGTCCGTACGGAAATCAAGGCACGGTGAAGCTAAGTCCCCTGTCACTATCTCCCTATATCTGGAAGAGCACAATGCTATCCCTGCAGGACCCTTCTGTTCCTGACTATCCAATTGGCGGGACCAGGTTAGGGAATACGGAACTAATTCTCATTGGACAAAAATCCGTCTAAATGACCGGGCTATCGGGGAGAACGGGAACCCACGAATTTGGGATGCTGGAAGCCACAACGTTCCCTAAGTAAAGAAAATTAAAGTAGGGTGGGGATCATCGTCGACCCTTTTCCATCGCCAGGCTTGTAAGTTGTGGGGACCGTGGGTGTCACTGTCGTAGCCCTCGTTTGGGAAGCGAATCGGGAAGCGACAGGTCAGATCGATCTTGAAGTCTTTGCCCTTGCAGCCATCGATATCTCTCAGATCGAAACTGGAGCCATCAATTGCGAGCTTCAACGATGTCAATGACATGATCCGCTGGTCCTGTGAAAATTGTGCTAAGCATCGGCATTGAGGAAAGAAGCTCCTGGTAGGGAGGCGGAAGTGATACCTTCTCCCAACCATCTCACAGCATGAAGTGACAGAGGGACGGCCAGGACGTGAAGAGGTGGTATTGAAATTATCGCTTGTGCTGTTTCTTGACCTCGCAGGTACTGTATGTATCTTGCTCGTGGCCCCCCAATGAGCATTATCGCAGTATTCACTTTGACGGGTAGTTGCAGGCATGCAAGACACGATAGAGCGCAGAAATTGAGACACATGATCTTGCTGCGTGTTGCCGGCTGCTATGTTGTTAGCGTGATATTTGTGTAGAAGAAAAATACAACATTCCTGTAGCAATCAAAGCGGTCATCTTAGATCCTACCCAGCCTTCATCACTTTCATCAATATCTGCTTTATCATCATTCGCATTCGCCCGTCTTCGAAATGGGCGTAAGTGCTCAGGTCATTGCGGTGAAGGCAAGTGAGGTTTCGGAAGTGAACATCCGGATGTGAAGTGGAAGTCACCAAAGTCGTCAAGTGTCTTCCTTGGCCTCAATCCCCCTTCTACATCCTACTACATATTCCTCTTTCCCTCCCTTCCAGCTTTCTCCCTTCTCCCTACCCATACATATCCCATTGTCATCACCAGCTACAAGATTTCGATATCATCGAGTGCATTTCAATTCCTTCCCTTCCCACTTTGCCCCGGCATCCAACATCTGGAGAAACAACGGTCTGAGAGCGAATCAACAAATTCACAGCTACATCAATTCCAGTAAGCTATCCCTAGACCAGGTCATCTCCCTTACCAGCAACATTTCCGCTCACCCATTATGTCCTACATCAAGCTGAGAGGATATGCATCATTAACGTACTTCACAAAGCCTTGCTGATACGCTCGTCTCAAGTCTCCAAGTCATCATGCCAAAGCTACGATCCGTCTACGCTGGAGGCTACAGCGAGGAGAAGAAGCGAAGGTAAATATTCGTTCTTCATTCAATAGACTACAACTCTGTGACTAAGCTTTCTATTAGATTGCAGAGCTACAAGCTCCCCCCAAAGTGAGTCCCAATGACTGTTCGGTCTGTCGAGCGAGATAACTTACGGACCATCTCAGGATCAAATGCGCCGTCTGCCACAAGATCAAGGCCGTAAACTTCTTTTCAACAATTCAACAGCTCGAACTTCAGAATGGCATAGCGACCGGCCAGGTTCAAAACGCCACGCTCGAAGAATGGGTTCCTTGTGTAGCCTGCACACCTAAGCAAGTCACTGAGCTGGAGTGCTGCATTTGTGAGGAGGTCAAGGACCTAGGCGGATTCGCCAGAGCACAGCGTCGGCTTGGGGAGAATGCGGTATGTAGCACGAGCCAAGCTGCCCACTCTCTGAGCATGAGCCTCATAATATTACTAGAGGTGCATCACTTGCGTAGTAATGCTGAATGGAGAGACTCCGGTGGAAGGGAACTACAGAGACCAAGTCATGGATGAACTGGGCAAGGATGAGGATGGTTACGACTCTGACGATAGCGTTACCAACACCCATGAAAGCGTGCGTAGAGATGCTTGGATCTTGGTTGGGACACAGCTGACGATGATCCTAGTCCACATTTAGTGACACCGAGTCCAACGCAGGAGTTCCTCTCTCGTCTGGTTCAGGTTACGATCTCAACCAGGAGAACCTCAAGTCTCTCAATTTCTCCAGCGATGGTCACGGTTCAAAGCTCTCGGCCAGCCAGGCAGCCACGAGCGCCTCTATGACAACCACCAAACGGTTTCGAGCGCCTGCAGGTGCTGGCAAATGGCAAGACTTCGCCAACAAGAACGGTGGAGAGTCTGTTGAGTCTACACGGGGTGCAGAATTCACAGGGTTTGACCGTGACGGCAAGGCTCATCAGATGGTTCGCCCTGCTTCGACAGTCGTCACCAATGACTCCGACTATGAAACTAATGCGGATCCTCGTGAACAAGCTCGAAGAGCTAGGGAGGAAGTGTGTATCCCAGCTTCATTTCTGATGACGAAGACTGACGGTGAAACGTAGCGAGATGCGCGATCCCGTTTTGCTAGACTTCCAGGAGGTCGGGCTGCTCCTATTGTTGTACCATCATATGTTGGTGGAAAGACGGTCCCAGACCCAAAAGCCGATTACGATGATGATGGGGATGAAGACGACGACTGGGGAACCATCTGAATATCACTGGCGTCAGTCGTCTCCTTGATTGGACACGACATCGATGTCAATGGTGGGGAAGCTAGCGGGCAACCAAACACGGATTGGCATAGCGATAGCTTCTTAAGCACGCAGCGGTGGAGCTTGAGGAGCTTTCTCATGATGACAACACTAAATGTGTTTCTTGAACATCCTTTAGGCTTGATCCGAGCTTGAATGGTGATGATCTCGAAGGGGACATGGTGGATTCCAGGAGATATCTGATGATGCGAACAATAGACAGATGCATGCACCTCATTTCACTCTTAAGGCTAGATTCAAAGGCTCGAGCAAATGGCAGATAGCTGAATTGAATGTCTTGAACCACCTCTCGCCCCGGTATCTTGTACAGCGAGAAAACGCACCCTTCCTGTCCACGTAACACCCGTTCTTAGATTATGGAAGATTCCTAGAGCTTCCAATGTACACAAGGCTTCATTGCATATATTGAGGCCATAGATGATACAGGAAAAGCTTTGCCGTACTGGCCTGGCCAGAGCCTAAGGTCGTCGTCAAATCCGTGCAGTACCAGTCTAGGCATTATTTCTAGCACATGACTGCCTCCAAATTCGAATTCATCCTCAAACACATACTCCGACATTTCACGTCAGAAGCGTGTGGGAAGAAGCAACTTGAAACGAATGTACATAAATCTGGCGTGGCGCAGCCATAGCAGCCACGCATGGACCAAAGGCCACTACCGGGCGACATATAAACGAGTTCGAGACGCCCACACGCGCTCAAAGCAATTGCATGAAACACCACTTCTGACAAGAGATGAAGCTGCTGCAGCGCACAAGCTGGCCATTGATTTTGGAGTTTCGTCGTTGTGCTGCAAGGGACCGTGCATGGTAGCCTCGTTTCGAGGGTCAGCAGACGGCAGGTGCAGGCGTAACGGACTGGCTGCTTCGGAGAAATGGTCACATGCACCGACTTTCATCAGGACAGGTTGTCAGGCATGAGGCATTCAATGATGGTGATGATGATGGTGGTAGTAGTGACGGTACAAGGGTAGAGTATTAGGTAGTATGATTTGTGAGGTAAGTTAGAGAGAGAAAAAATATTTCTGATGATGTGTACGAGTATCGCAACCGTAAGCGAGGGCGATCAGGCGGAATTGATTGGCTTTCAGTGCGTCATGATACAGGATTCAGGCCTAACAGCCTACCTCCCTACCAACCAGCCTTCTCGGTCAGGATTTGAGGCGCAGACGTTGCACCAGTTGGAACAATTGACAATTGCCCAGCCAAGGAGCCAAGGAGCCAAGAAGCCAAGTTTATGCTGCCCATGTCTTGATTTGCTGGTTTACTACCCCCAGTCTACCATACGCTATTCCTCGAGTCCCAAGCTCGCAACAATTCAAACTCCATTCATCCTTGCCCTCCAGAACTCTCCGACCCACGTTTCACCTGGAATAGCTCTAGGTTCCGCTGCTACATCATCGCCTTCCCGGATTCCTTGACACAGCTGTGAGCCTGTGACTGCAAAACATCTTGCGCCTATCCTTCAACTGCCTATTCAACACCTGTCCTGCTCCAGACTACTGCAGGTCATCCAAAAGACAAAAACCATGCTATAGCAGCATAGCCTGACCACAAATAGCATCGCGAATCCGACTGACCGACTGCCCGACTGCTGGACAGCTACACCACCAATTCCAAATCGCTGGCGATTGCGTCTGCCGAGCTGAGCAAGAATGGCTTACCAGCAGCCCAGTGTTGAATACGCGGATCCCCGCACTCAGGCCGCCGATAACGATCAATTCGAGCCGCCAGGCAACAGAAACCGAGAGGCGTCAACTGCCCGACGTGCATCGATAATGCCCGAACAGAGTCGATACGCCCCGCCTCAGAAGCCCATCGACGAGGCTGTAACAAAGGCTTTCGATAGGGCAGGCGCAGAGACATCAAATTATGTGCCGCCTGAGCTCATCGCCCAGATCACACAGAACGTCATAAAACAATTGCAGACAGGCGGCGGGCTCGACGGATCCACGCCTGTGCCTTCTCACAACGCCTTCTCACCCCCTCCTCCTTCCATGCATCAACCTGTTCCTCTATCACCATCCACCACTTCTGGGACCTCACCAAACATGACAACCCGAGTCTACACACCTCCTTCACCGATGAAACACTCCGACTACCCAAGCCACACCCCACCACAGTCGCAATCGGGATACTCACCAGACGACCTACCGAGCCCACGACACGACAAGCCTGCTCACCTCAACCCCAGAAGATCTTCTTCCCCTCATAGCCAAACGAGCGAGTCGAGCGACAAGCCACATGTTAGACCAAAAGGCCCCGCGAGGCTTTCGACAAGCAAGGAAGAAACTACATTAGAGAAGATCTGGGGTCAGCTGTTCGATGAAGATGGCCATCCGACGAAAAGACTTGGTCAATTTCTCCGCGGATTGGCAGTGCACATTGTACGTCTAACCCAATGGGTCATGCCAGTTTGAGGTACTGGGCGTTTGCTAATTGTTTTACAGATTGAGGATTATGAGCCCCGGCATAGCATTGTCATCACCCCTACAAAGATGGTAAAATACTACGATGACGTCAAATTGTCAGATGAGCTGTATCCATGGCCGAGTACGTTTGACCAGCGCATTTGCAGGATCAGCTGGCTAACACGACCTTAGCTGTTTTCGACGACGAGCACTCTTCAATCTCTCGCATGTACAGAGATCTCGAATGTCAGCACCATCTCGTGCAAGAGAGATATGACGAGAGACCAGACATACCGGGCCTTACACCGGTCGGCTTCGAGAGATGGGCAACGTTGCTCATTCAAGCACATCCTGAAGAAGAATTTGGGAGGCTCCGGAAGGCCGTGTTAGATATGCCAATCTGCAACCCAGATGATCGAAAAGAGCGGTTTCCGAAAGAGCTCTCACGACGCTTGTTCCCAGGGCATGAGGATCGTCGGACCCGTGAGAAGTTGGAGGATTCCATTTCGGAGCACGCAGCTATCGAGATTCCACGCCGCCGGAGTCGAGAGGAGCCTCCCCCACCTCGTTATGACTCTCCGACCCATAAGCCTGGCGTCGCTGAACGGGACTACGCTCCTCAAAGCCATCGCTCAAGCGTCAGCTTTGATCTACCGTCCACCAGCTCAGCCGCACCTTCAACCTACATGCCCTCCCAATTGGAGCGCGAACGCAAACCCTACTCCAACGTTCCATCTGAGTCCGCGATCGACGACACTAATCCTCCCATGCCGCCTCCACCTTCAAATCCCATCGAACGTGCCCGCCAGCCGTACAGTGTCCTTCCCGGCGGCGGCAAGCAATTTGAAGACGAAGCAAGGTCGACCAAGCCCCGTCCCGAAAGCTTTGTAGGCTCAGCACCCAAGCCGAGTCGTTCAGACTCATCCGCTCGGTCTCGCCCTATCCCTGTCAACAATCCTCGCCCAATGGAAGTTCCAAAGCCAACAGAAGTCCATCATCACCGCGCACCCAGCAACGCAGGCCGCCGTCACCGCAGCCCCTCGTTCAGTCGCGGCTCCACGAACGACTTCAGACGTTCTGACGGCGATATCAGAGGCTACCAGCCCAGCTCCTACCAAGTGCCCGCCTCTCTCCCTGTGGGCGCTCCTCCGGTAGAAGCTGTCATTGACGAAAATGACACCCGTCGATATTTCGAAAAGAATGCTCGAGAGCGAGCTGAGCGAGTTAGGAGGCAGGCGGAGGAGGATGCGAGGGGCTATGGAGAGAGTCCGAGACGTTATGACCGTGCTGGCCCACCACCGAGGAGAGACGAATACTTGAACGACGAAGATTACAACCGTGCTAGTGGACGGCAGGGAAGCGGGCATGATTACGGCCAGCCATATGGAGGCCCTGTCTACCGGTGATCAGATCAAAGAAAGAGAGGGTAAGACATGGGTGCTGGAGGCGGGACCGAGGTGTGCATTATGACTTACGGCGTTGCGACTTTACATACGGACTACATTCGCTCCTTTTCCCTACTTGGACGCCTGGTCGGAGGAGGCGCATGAGGCAGAGAGGATCGGGCTTGCATCTGTATGCTCGAAGCATTCGAGGCCTTGGCACGGGGTTCTTCTTCTTCAATCTCGCTGATCATTGTGATACCATGAATTACTAGTTGATTTCGTTTTTCTGACGCAGGTAGTCTTATCTTAAACCTTGCGAATAAATCATGACGTGCATTTCGGTCCAAGATGCTGCCCGCTACGCCTCTGCTCGAGGCGCATTAAATCACCGTCATACGGTCTCGCGCGGAAAGATCGACGAGCAAGCAGTAAAGGAACCGAAAAAAAGATAAAATGCCCCCCCTCCTGCAGACACCCGATCCTGGTAGCCGAGTTCCATAGTCAAGCCCACTCCGGGGCTCCTCCAGTCGGCCAAGTCTGACAAAACCATATCGAAACGGCTTGACTGAGATCATCCAAATTGCAAGGCTTGGTAATCCATGTCTTGCGATCATCTATAAACGCTTCTGTCGTAAGACGATCGGTTGTTGATGTTCTTCTTCTTCTCCGTGCTATGTCTGCCCTCCCTAGGAAGGTGTCTTTCATCTGAAGTTTACAGTTCCGGGGCGGACCACCCATCTCTACCTATCTTCATCAGCGCGGCCTGCTTATGCGAAAACGCCACCTCTTTCTCCTTATGGAAGCCGACGTCTTGTAGATATTGGATGAACCTAATGTGCGATTGGTCAGTGCCGGCCAGATCTCCTTTCTACCATGCTTAGAGGGGGAAAAAAGACTCACTTGACATTGTCAGTCCTCGGCTCCACCAAAACCCTCTGCGTCCGCGGATCACAGAGCCAAAAGTGATGCACCAGCGCACTCGTCCACACTTTCACCCTGTGCCGTCCTCGGAATTCCTGTTCGCCCACCAGAGCATGGAAGCCCCTGTCCCAGTCATTGACATCGCTGCCCGTGAGGTGTCTTCCCAATTGATCTTCTTTGACCCAATAAAGCTCGAAGTAGCCGAATGGTTTGCCGTCCCAGCA